ATGATAACTAAAATGAGTGTATTGAATGTATATGCATCAGATGAATTGAAAAAAAAACAATATTTCTTTCCGTGGAATAACTTGTTAGGGCCCAGATTTGAATTCCTATGTAAGAGAGGTGAAGACTGAATGAGAAATCAAATGTGACTTCCATGGTGGCGCCACTGTCACTGGGTTGCTGTTTGTTGGACTGTGCTGCCATCTAGTGGTCTTAAGAGGACTGACAGCATTTTTTCTTCTTTATCAGCACTGTTTCCGACATTAACATGTCAATCCAGGAAGATGAATTAAGATAATCTGTTCTATGAATTTGTTTTCATCTAGGATAGTATCTACCGTATCCATAAATAAATGTGTAATTAATTTATTGTATTTTAATATATTGAAATGAATTATGTCAAGCTGTGTTTGGTTTGATGAGATGTATACTCAACCTCTTCATGGTGAAACTGGACTGTTACATAATCACTGAAGATGGTATGTATAGTATATGACTTAATATGATCTGAGAAGTCCATATGCATCAGCAAAGTGCATCTGAAGTCACAACAAGCCTCCCTAAGTAAAATAAATAAATGTTGCTTTCACACAGATTTAAGAGCTTTAACTAGACAGCCACAACTAGTCGTCACCCGATATGGGTTTTTTAATGGCGGATGCTGATATTTAGAGAGCAGGGCTGCCGATAATATAGTTAAATTCTGATATTAAAACAAAGAAAAGTCATGTATTATTCTTTTCTACTCTACAGGAAATTCTGACCATATTTACTGCAACGCATTACCGAGTTATAGCACAGGGCTCAAAACCAACTTTTTCACCACCTTCCCAAAAAGGGGCTAATATCGTTCCACAGCAGGCACACGGACAAGGCTGCCTGCAGACGTGTCTGAAGACATTTTTTTGTAATTAATAGACAATTTAAGATTTGATCACAATTATTTTGATCAAGATAATTGTGACGTGAAATTACTGCCAGTAGGCAGGTGGGTTTTTTGGGGTTTTTTTTAAAGTATATTTTGGGGGTTTTTATTGCCTTTATTATAGTGAGAGCTGAAGACAGACAGGAAAGAGGGGCAGAGAGTGGGGATGACACGCAGCAAAGGGATGCAGGTCGGATTCGAACCCTGGGGCGCTGCAGCAAGGACTCAGCCTCGGTACATGGGTCGCCAGCTCTAACTATATATATATACACTATATACTAACTATATACTTCTATAACAGGTGAAAACTCTCTGCCACTCACTGCAACCATACTTATGCTGTTTGATGCAAAAGTTGATTGTAGCAAAACTACCACGCATCAAGAACTGATCATGTATTATCCTGGGGAAATTCCTTATGTATTAAAGCAACAGCACTCACTTCAACAATGTCACGGCAAATTATTGGAAATGAATGTGAATTGTTTCAGACTAGCATTATGCATCGCAATGGGGGTTTAAACTAACGGAAATCTGAAAATGTATGTTCTAGAAGGATACAGCAAAGTCCATTGGCACACAGGAAGGCATTCTGGTGTAAAGAAGAACCACCAGGTTGTCAGTATGAGCAGTGGCAGCTTACGTGGCTAAACAGAAAATTCTACCAGCAGGAACTCAAAAAGTTCAGCAGTAGAGTATCCGAATACAAAGACACTGTTTGATTGACAGGTGGTAGCTCTGAAACATTACACTGACATCAGGTAGGTAGGTCCTGATGGAGACAAAATATACATTATTAAAAGAAGTCTAAAAGCAGGATCATAAAACAGAGGACTGCACTGACTGATGATGCTGTAGCTCAAGAAACCATGAGGCCATGACCATCAAGCAGTGGTGTAACGATACACTCACGGTTTCAATTCTGGGTCCATGATATGATTTTCTTACAATTCTTTTTACCAAATGAGATTGAAGACAAATGAAAAATGTCTCTCTCTAGTCTCTTCTCTCTTTTAAAATTATAATAAACTGCTCTTTTTCCACATAGTGAATGTCAGTGTTTAACACATGTACAGCTCTTTAGCCAATTGGAAAACCACGTTATTATGTTCTTAAATGGGGCTAGAATAAGAAATGGATAAGGGTTGTAGCAATTACAATAAGTGGCCCTTTGTTGAACGGTCTACCTATTGTAACCCGATGACAACCTCTCCAGCATTTCCACCACCAGCTGAACCTGCCATTAAGTGCATCCTAGTTGGGCATGTCTTCAAACATGTCCGAATAAACAGTTATTTTGTAACAAACATCAAACTAAAGCTATTCAAAATAGTGACCCCGTTCACTTCCTAGCTGACACTTCCATCATGATGCAGAAAACATAAATGTAACTCAAGTGTAGCAAGATGCCAGACTGTCGGTATCAACACATCTATTTATTTATTCTAACAATGCAACAGCACAACATCCAAGTCACTAAGCCTCTGATCATCAAATTCTTGTCAGGCACAACTACTGAAAATGATTTGAGAATAACAATTCACACCTCCTTCACTATTTTTTAATTAGCTGTTAGAAATTGGAGAGCAGTTGGTTAAATTTGTAAGTTTTGGCTTTATGGCTTTTATTATGAAATGCCGCTAATTCTTCAAGGGGTAAGGTAAACAAGATAAAGGATCACATTATAAAGGGTGTGTGATGATGGACAACTAGCAAACCACAAAAGGATGTTCAGTACCTTCAGTCGCTTTAATCTGTGTCAGTACTTTTGGATGCTGTTGGGCTAATCAATTAGAACTGGGTTGATTTGATTCCTTTAACTTTGACTCATACAAAAACATCTGGATGGTTTGTTCACTCTAATGTAGAACAGTGAGTGAGCTGCTCAATTGTGCGTGTGACATTAACTAGTTCATTGTTAGCCAGCCAGGCCAAGACTTCCTCTGCAGTCCAATTAGAAACTTGATTTGCGAAAATAATGAGAAAGACACGTTTAGCTCCATAAACCTGCAACCAAAGCCCGCTCAAACGTGATCAATACTCAGTACTACTACAAAGAGAAACCAAAACACTTCCAATGGCAACATTTTGGTCTATGCCTACAGATTCTGCATTCATCTGTTTATAGAGACTAAAAGTTACTATGGATGACTCAAGATCACTAAAGAATGGATCAACACTGACTATAAAGTTTGTTTAATGTTGTATTTCTATCCTTTATAAATTGAAATTGTCCAATACATACATTTTTACTCATCAATACAGTGCAGATATAAAACTAATAAAAAGTCACTTCATGACAGCTTCTGATAGACAACCACAACACTGACGCAAGCGCAAATGAGATATGGTGCATTATCCAACCAAAGAAACTCACCATTACCTGAGTAAAATTACAGATTTCCCTGGGTTTGTACATTTTTGGAAATGTTTGGGATAATATAAGTAAAAAATTCAACAAAATATATAACATAGATTAAGTGTATAGACATTTTAATGCAGAAATATAAGACATTTTTGTTTAGTAAATATTACCATTCAATAGTAATTTATGTCTTTCCCATTCACCAAGCTTGGTGAATAGAGTAAAGGTGGGTAATAATGTAATATTGCAGGAGAGAGACTATATTTCAAGGTATCACTCCATTGCTTTTTATTCCTTGTTTATTATATATACCCCTTTCCAGGGGTCATCTGGTTTATTTTTCTTTCTATATGTTTCTCTGTAGCTACAATGCTGCAGTAGCTTATATTTTCATGAAGAAAGCATATAGTCTCTAACTATGATGGAAATATGTAGCTTTGTATTTTTGCTTAGAAGTCAGGTTATGAGAGGGGTGGAGACAGCAGAGGAACTGACTCTGCTATTACTTCTGTATTAATAAGGGTCCAACTGCCTCATACACACTCTTTCACACACACGCCCACATAGCACCATACGTCACATTACAGAAGTGTGGCTGAATGAGGACACAAACAGCTGCATATAGCTCTGCTTGCTTGAAATTCTGTTTTTTTTAAATAAGAATCAACAAAAGTATCAACAAAGTCACAAAATATTCATATTCAATATTAATTTGTTTTCCTAAAATACTTCTTGTAACATATAGGGGTGTCACGAGAACCAAGTATTGGTTTAGGACTCTGTATCAGCCGATACTCAATAGGCTATTAAACAGAGATCAGGTGGCAAGAAAACGTGACTGGGACATTTTTACCGTGGTACCGAATTGATAGAGAATAATTTCACTGGTATTAACGACTACTACATTTGTGTTATTGTGACATCCTGAGTAACATAACATAATTTCTAGGAGAGTATAAATGCTGGGTATCTTCCCAAGCTGAACCCAGGAAATATTAACTAACTAACTTCCTGGTCTGATTTCAAGGAATGTGAAACTCTTCTCTGGCTATTTCTTAGCCACCTCTTTCTTTAAATCTTTTTCTAACAGTGGTGTGAACTTGAACATCAGCTGTATATTAGTCCACACCAATAAAAGACCATACCATTGCAGCATGAACTGACATTGGCTTTTATCACAAGTCAGATAGAATTTGATTAAAAACATTTCTGGGTTCTAGTCCAGAAATATGGTTGAAATAAAAAGATCAGCAGGGCTTACATAATAAGGATTGCCCGATTTCCCGGGGCAAGTGAAAGCCATGTTGGCTCACTTGCCTGATTGGGTAAGCAAGCATTTCAGTTATTGTGAAAATAGTTTAGTTGGGTAGCATTAGAGGATGTGCGCCAAACTCGTACTATGTATTGTACAGTTTGCGACAAGTTTGAGAGCAAGGCAGGGTAGTTTTTCAAAGGCACATCAAGTTTTGTGAAAAACTTTTGTCTTTGTTGTTATCTGATAATGCTGCTAATAAACACCACAATTTGTAAGTAAAAATTCACTTTGGACAAGTACATTTCTGACCCAGTTGCCTGATCAGGCAAGTGAAAAAAACATTGAACTTGAACCCTGATCAGAAATCACTGTTCACTGCAGTGCATTCACTGCATGGTGTTGTGACTAAAGACTGAAAGTATACAATAGTATGAAATGTGCAAGATGCAGCACTTACTCATGTTGGCTCAATCCAAATCCATATTTATGACTCTATTTCCATTTCAAATGTGCACATATCTCATCCACAAACTTCATGAAGTTCAGTCCAGAGGGTACAAAGTATGACTAGTATTTCAGCGTCTTCCTTCTTTAGTTTCTTTACTGAATTGAGCCTGAGAAAGATTGAGTTCCACACAGCAGTGGAAGATGTGTGGAGCTCCTGCCATTATCATAACAACCTCATTCAGGTTAAATGAAGTTAAAATTCTCCATTGGATGACACAGACGGCCATAAAGTCCAGTAATGTCTGTCATTCTATTACGTGCAAAGGCATGTTGTTTTTCTCTCTCTCTAGGTTAAAGGGTCAAACAATGTCCATGATTGTCCATGATCTTCATAGGGAAGAGGCCTGTTTTTGCTCAGTGGGACTTGGTGTCATCCTATCATGCTGCTGATGTTGCAGCTGTTCTGTCACCTCACGACCTGCATCGCCTGTCTTCCTCTGTGTCTTCTTATTCTTGTCATCCTCCAATATGGCGTGAGTAAAAATGGTAAATCAGAGATGCTTTGATCATTTCACATAATCCATAATCTTCCGAATGGACGAGAAATCCTTTCCTTGGAATGAAAGAGTGCTGCAGTGAGAGACACTTTGTTGAGAAAAGTGATCCACGCACACCTGTTGGCTGGCCAAGACAACCCCATTAAAGTTTGACTTTTGCTAAAAAATAAAAAAACAGAGGTGTCAGAAGAAGAGAGGAAGAGGTTGGTGGAGCGAACAGAGATAGAGAGGTGAAGGATGGAGAGTTGAGGACTCGAGCATCCTGCTGTCTCTCAGCCAGGAGGATGAATGGAAAGACTGCCTCTCTGCCTCCTTTTATATTCTCTCTTCCCCTGCTGCCTCGCTTTGGCTTTTACCCTGGCTTGTGAGTGAGTGCGGTGTGTGTGTGTGTGTGTGTGTGTGTGTGTGTGTGTGTGTGTGTGTGTGTGGAGAGCCCTCTTTCAGAGCAGCAGGAATATATTATAACCCAAACAAAAGGAGCCGGCTTATTGTTTATGAATTACTAGCCTTCCAAAGGCAACAAAAGGCCCCTATTTTCATAGAAAACTCCATTTTCATTTCAGCTCCATTTGATTACCAGAGCAAAGACAATAAAAAAGGCCTCTCCGGTCGCAACGTCCCAAAGGGATTCATTCCTCCTTCACTCGCTCATTCAGCGCCACTGAAAAGGTTTCTTTATTGCTTTCTTTTCAGGACCCACGTCAAATGGGCTTTTAGGAGTAAACCAATGACAAAAAATTATTGCTTGGCTATTTTGTACAATAACAGGGCCGGGGAAAGAGAGGAGTCCTGTGTTGTCTTTGTCATCTTTCTTTCCCTTTTCTTTTTCTCCTTTCTGCTATTGGAGAGGAAAATTGCAGAGGCTGGAAATTAATGGCAAGGCTTTGAAGGGAAAGAGAGAGAGAAAGAAAAGGGAGACACAATGCAACAATACAAGTCAAATCTAAATTATCACTACCTATTGAATACAGTGAAGAGACAGAGGGGTACTGTACAGCTCCTGTGTGTGTGTTTGTGTTTCTGTGTGTGTGTGTGTGTGTGTGTGTGTGTGTGTGTGTGTGTGTGTGTGTGTGTGTGTACCTTTTACAAAACAGAGACACCTGTTGGTCCATGGTCAAAAACAATACAACCCCAGTGACTCGCTGTCATTTCATCTACAATGGGGTTGGTGTGTGTGTGTGTGTGTGTGTCCCATTCACTATTTTGCAGACCTCTAGGTGGGTGTGGAGATGCTGGCAGAAATAATGATCGGTTCACTACACAGTTCAGATCTTCACGTAAGTCACCCTATAGATGTCATACAGTCATTAAGTTTCATTGTTAAAACTGACTTACTGACCTGCAGTTGTATGCCTCCATCAACCAGTTGCACTTGACATCCATGTTTGTCCAGACTCATCTCATCTTATATATCATATATATAATATAATATTCACAATACGATTTTCTCACAATTTTTTTTAATAAAATGGGATTTAATACTAATTATTAACTTAGACAAAAATGATATTTTTTCAATTTCATATGTTCTTGATCAAATTATAGATTACCTATGTTATATAGATATTTTTATAAAAACTGCAAAACAAGCCATATTTCCTTTTATGAAGTGAAACTTAACTCCTACTGTTTTTTAGATGGATGAACTCACTCACTCACTCACTCACTCACTCACTCACTCTGGTGTGCTCCGGCACATTGTCTGCAGCCATGTGATTCCGATAGTGACATTCAGAATGAGGCAGGAAGTGAAAGACAAGTGAAAGCACTGTGCTAGTTATTGTTTACTCATTGTGTCAACATTCTTAAAACTATGGCTAAAAACCTATTTTGAGGTCACATTGACCTTTGACTCAGAATTGTCTAGTCTAATCTAACACACACACACACACACACACACACACACACACACACACACACACACACACTACACATTCACCTGTGGACGAACAGTGGCACAAACACACACACACACACACTCACTTTTTATCACACACTCTGGATTTATGAAAAGAAGAAATAAGACAATTTCACTGTTACAAATGAAAAGCTGAATTACTAAGCAATAAAACACACCATCACTCAATTCAGTATACTATCAGGTTTTAGTGATACAATAGTTACACCTGAATCTCAGTATCAAAATAAGAAAAAGCACATGTTGATGCAAAGAAGCAGAGAACGAGGAACACTGGCTGGCTGCAGTGCAAATACACTGATAGAAGTGAATGACAGCGTTTGATATGAAGCTGTATAATTCACATTATTAAATGCTGTGGGTGGCCCACTAGTTTGTTTACAACACTGTCCACATTTCTTTTCCTTTTGACCACAGCCCACGCAGAATCACACTGACCGCACCACGAACCATAAAGAATCAACCCGAGAACTCAACTGATCCTTTTCATTATCCAGATAATGTATCCAGATCATGGATGTATTGAGGGGGAACTGGATACAACATTGAAAGCAGAGCTCCGTTTATTCCTATGAAAGCTGCTCAGTGCTGCATGAAATCCAAAAAGTTCAATTTCAGGGTATAGAATTACCCACACAGAGACCCACAGAGCAAGCGCACCAGAGACTCCCACCAGCCCCGCTAATTTCTGGTTTAGCCCTCAGCTAAGTACAATGGGGACAAAATGATTTAATTGTTTGGCTCTTCTAGAGTACACATTACATAGTCTTGCTTTAAACACTGGCAATAACTCGTGCTGACTGACTGATTGGCTAACTGCTGCTAAGGAGGTTTATAATCAAGCTCCAAACAGGCATGACCGGATTTTTGCAAAAGTGGTTAAATATTGTAATATAATTAGTATATTATAATAATATTTTGCAAAAAAACACCTGTGTTTGGGATATAATCACTTATGTTGAGTGAGTACTGAATGGATTGTTTGATCAGTTTGAACGGATGTTTTTATAGGGCTTTGTCGCTTTTGAGTTATTTGTGTTTCATTTTAGAAACACTGTTCAATGGTTGGATGAAAACATTCTTTAAAAGAAGAAAAGATTAACAGCACACAGTGACTGTAGAAGATGCTCTTTCATCTTTTGCTTTGCCTCCTGTTTTTGTCCTCCTGGATGAATATTTGGCTCGAGACAAAAGGTGAACTAATCAATTATTCCTCTTGCAGGGCCCTGGTGCTGTTGTGAAAAGCGTTGACATTTGAGCTTTCCAGACGACATCTGCAAATTTATATGCCTGGCATTGTGTGAGTCAGCCAGCCCCGTATCAAAGGCTGTAAAAGGCCTTGTCAATTTAGTAAGGACAACTCTACAAAGACTCCTTTCTCCTCTGTTGTTATGGGAATAATGCTTTTCACTGGTGTCCTGCCAAAACCTGTCGGCAATTTGGCCATGTCACGTTATTGAGTGCATTGATAACAGACATCGAACATGGAAACCGTCAAACTGTCAGTTGTGCATTGTGAAAAAAACTTGCAAAATGTAACAATTTTTTAAAGAGGCTTTACAGTGAATACACCTACATTGTAAAACTTGATATCTATTTATTTCTGTGGTTGTGGGCTTCATCAAGGCCTTAAACAACTATCTGCTCATTGAAGGGGGCACATTTGCCACCTTTTATGATCAGTATTGATGGTAAATGTAGTCAAATGAAGCTATACATTCCTCAGTGCATGCTTTATTGATTGAGAAAGTAGCGTTCTCCAGCTGCAAAATATGTTGTTCCTTGTTGTAGAATAATGAAGAGGAGTACAGTACAGTCACATAGTTGGTGTCAAGGAAGAACTACAGGATATTTCAGCCTGGATTTCTAGTCTCCACCTCTGGGTAGGCAGGGGGCATCCCTGAAGCCACTCAAGAACAAACTTGGCCTTTCTCACATCCTGATGCACATAAGAGCCCTGAAGCTCCGCTGCTAAAGGTCCAGAAATAAAATCCCACAGGAGGAAGTAGCCTGTTTGAGCTGCTTTGAGTTTCAGCTTGAGAATATGTTTGTAACTAAGTGCAGAAGCAACTGTTGACTTCTTTTAATTTCATCACAATTTGCATTTCATCATTTCATAGTATGTCAAAACCTGTAAATTAAGTAAAATTAAGACAATTAAAATAGTCTGAATAATCCTGAATAATCAATAATGATTCTGAGGTCATTTTTCAGGACAGGTTTTTCCTTCCCTCTAGACTTAAGTGCAGAACCCAAGTCAAATGATGTAAAATCAATGTGGACAACATCAAAACTAACTAAATGACTTATCCCACGTCTAATAGTAGTAATTGGTCCTCAGTGGACTTCTGTAGCAAGTTTAGTCTTTAGGTTTTTTGGGTGTTCTTTGATTATCTGCCCTAGCTTTTCCAACTTCGTGGTAATAGGCATAATAATGATCCAAAATGGTGTGAAATTGCATATTTTGAATTGAAAAATGTAAACAAAAAAAACAAACTTCAAACTTTAAGATACTCTGACGTGTGTCAATACGGGCTGGTGTCACATGCCTAACAGCATGCACAACAACACTGCTGCTGAAAAAACTTCTAAGGGAAAACACTGCAGTGTGTAGCATTTAGTGGTGTACTTGCAGATTGCAACTCCCTCGCTTCACCAGCTTCACCTTCCAAGGAGAAACCACAGTGGTCCTGACACGCGTGAAAAACAGGAATTATTACTATTAAAAGAATAGCTCCACACTTGGTTTTAGAAGTTGGCTAAACATACAATGGTCGCCACCGCCACCTCCATTAACAACTGCAGCCGTACCGCTATTGTGAGCATGCGTGGCTATTTGTCACTATCTTTGTGTTTAAAGTTAGTGGTGAGACCAGTGTGTGGTGTATGCACAGTCTTGCCTACGAACTTCCTTGTCACTGATGACATGTTTTCCTCGAGGCTTAGCTAAACTGAATGGGAACTGTGGCAGTTCAGGGGCCAGACTGGAGCCAGACTGGGACCAGTTAAATGAACTCTGCAACTGAGCATTTTAGCAGTGGAGTGGTTCAGAGATCAACTCAGACAAGTTATCTGAATAAATGGCGTAATGTAAAACATCATTTTACCAACAAAGTTAAGAATTTGTGATTTGGAGTCCATTGTGGGTGTTATATAACAAACCACATAACATTCAATTAGTAAACTCTTAAACTTTGATCCAGGTACAGGAAAACTACAAACTCAAACTTTATGGCCCCACATCATTGCATGTATCAGGTACATGACTTACACACCCTCACCTATAAGACTGGCATATAAGAGAGTAAAGCCTGCAGGACACTAGAGTTAAAAGGCTCTTACTCTTAAAACAGCACAGCTTCAAACCAAAACAAGGATGAGTTGCAACCCAGAAAACCAAAAGAAGAAAAGCAAGCAGCCAGCAGACCTTCTGCACAGGCCACAATCACTAACACACAAACAGTGTAAGACCCATAAGAAACTGCTAATGCTCCACAGCCTCGGCGGGCTCTGTCTCATGTCATTTAAGAACAGGAAAACCCTAAACAACAACAACAACAACAACAACAAAAACACAGCAATAAGTTGTGACAATAATAACAGACACGCCACTGCGGGACATTTTAACCAGCAAGAAGACAAACATACAGAGACATACATTATCTGACTCACATTTGCAGTCGAAGTCCATTCACTTTTCTTTCATGAAGTGTCCACTTATGTCCAGCTGCACTTTGACAGTCACTTTGTTTGTTTATTTGTTTGTTTGTTTGTTTGTTTGTTGACGGAGGTCTTCATGTCCCGCGCTGCTAGCTCAAAAGCTCGTTAGCTGATATCATTAGCAACACTTGGAAACTCAGCTAACTAACGTTACTGCTACTGGACAACTACCTGTTGTTTCATTTACTATAACTCTAATGGTTGTTGTTTTTAATTATTCTAAATGTTAAAGGCTGTTGTCAGAGTATGACAGGCTTCACTGCACTTTCTTTTCGCAGTGGCTGTTTGTTTGATACTAAACTATGTTTTAATCAAGGGATACCAACTTTCACCTGGCGCCCCTTCGGCAGGCTTCATTAAGGGTGCAATATTCTTTTTGACCACACACACTGGCTGACCTTTACCCCGCGTTACAACCCAGAGGGGCGCTGTTTCACCCATTTTTTTGGGAATGGCTTCAAATATCAGTTTAAACCATATCCCAAATGGCTCTTCATTTAGTTCCATTTCTGTCAAATTTAGCAATGTTTTTACCAATGATTAGCATGTGTGCTCATATTATTACTTTTGACTTTAACTATATTCATTTACTTAAAAAAAGTAAAGAAGAATCATTAGTTTGAACCTTGTTGTGGTCGAAACCGTTCTTTTTAATAATAAAAAGTGCTTTGTTCAACTACTACCTTTCATACATGTCACTAACTGTTGGTATAACTAGAGATAAATAGGTCTGCTAGAGACATGAGATTCAACTGTTTGATTCAACATTTTATTCACAGACAGACGGGTGAAATAAATAGAGGGGGGATGATTCTTACTACTGTAATCACCTTCATCACCTTAACATTGGAACACACATTACATTTACATCAGTCACTTTCAGTTAAATACATAAGTTAGAGTCAATAATTGACATACTGTTTTACATGGCTTACATTAGTGTGGTTTCATTTCAGTAATATTTCACTTGTGGCTGAAGTTTTTATGCTTAATAACTTTAGCATAAAGGAAATATACTTCTCCCCAAGGCACGTCTTCTGACGCTCATGAGAAATATGCTGCTTTTCTGTACAAATCAGCTTCAGTGTGATCAACCAGGTCAAGTAAAAATAAGTGTTACAAATCAAAACCAGTTGTTTAGAGTAAAAACACAATCACAAATATAAAAATAAGAAAACATTCTACAGTAAGTTGCATATTGACATTATAAAAATCATAATAAAACCCATCAACATTTTCCACTGTTGTATTGCTTGGACTTTGGTCTTGAAGCAGTAAGAGCAGCGAGCTGACTCAGTATATTTTGTTTGGCTCCTAAAAGACGGAAGTTAAATAAAGATCAGTGATGGTATCTGTCAGTCAGTTTAAAACTGGACTCTGGCCTCTCATTTCCTCTGCAAACCTCGCAGCTGCTAGAAGACGGGTGTGAATATTGTATTAAAATTTGAATATAAACTCAAAAAGCTATTTAGTGTCATTATTATTATGATAATGTTTAAGTCATTGCTGATTTATTAAGTGGGCTGCATTTAAGATTTTCCTTCATTCTGGGCTTTTACATTAGGAGTTTCTATTACTTTTATACTACATTATGCATATATCATCCTATGTATGGCAACAAGACATGATGACATTAATTTAAAGGTGCAGTAAGCAGTTATCTCCTGATTGGATAAAGAGGGAACAGGACACTAGAAAATGTATTCTCTGTTTACTGCAGAAAGGAGGGACTGGGTGACCCATGTTACTGACTGAACTCTCTACATCAGTGATGGCTGTTAGAATGTAGAGCTTTTTTTAACAAAACAAATATTGCTTACAGCTCCTTTAATGTTTTTGATTGTATCTCACCTCATACAGTCATTGTAGGTGAGCCCTGGTAGCTCGCCTGGTGGAGCTAGCACCCCATGTACCAAGGCTGAGTACATGCTGCAGCAGCCATGGGTTCAATTCCAAGCAATTCAGCTGTAACTAGCAATAACAGCCTAATTTTTAAATAAATAATTGTTTGTCCTTCTGACAATCTTTTATCTATGTCAAGCTGAAGCAAAAGTGGTGACAGTAGGTCCACAAGTTTAAAAAGAGTTAAACATATATAAACTCTGAAACTTCAAAGAACCTATTTGTAAATGACAAAGAAAAAGGTGGTTTGTGGGCAGTGTGAATTTCAAAACAAACTGCACAGCAGCTCTTACAGCGCTGCCAGACATTTTGTTCTGAAATAATTGATTTAGCAGCAATACTGTGTTTGTTATCGACACATATTTTACTGTTACAGCTGTAGCTTTGGGCAGACATGTATAAGGTTTAAAAAGCTTATTGGCCTCTCGCTCTCCCTGCTTCATATACACATTTACAGTGCATCACGTTTGACTACATCATTCTAAATCAAGTTTCCTACACATTTAAACATAGCTTGGAATGTCAATCTGCAAGAATATGAAATTATAAATAAAAGTTAATGTGGAGCTGAAACCTTCGACTCCCTGATGGTCATATTAATTCCTGAGGAAAATCTCCCTCTAGCGTCCCTTTAACTGATTTCCTAGTAACTACACATTTTTACACATTTGTTTGTGTTGTTTTTGATCTCACATACTATCATTTACCCTTCAATTCATTAAATTAGATTGTTCTCAAAAGTAAATGTATCTTTAGCTTTAGCATCCAAACAATTACTTGTATATAGACATGGAAGAACAGTCCAAACAGTACCAACAAATAAATCAACTAGTTTCTCATATTTTCTCCATGTCTCTGGTCCACCTCACTTGTAGTTTATTCATCTGGGTTTAAAGCTTAATAAAATACAAAAAATATTCAAAAAATCTAAATCATCACTGGCCAGAAATCTACATATCCATATATCAAATAATGTAGTGGATCAAGAAAATAATATGGTGGTCTGTCACAAAATGATAATCTGCAACTGACTTTCATTTCATCCTGTAAAACACGAGGTCACTAACAAGTGCTGGTAAATTTAAGTTTAAAATGTAACTGAGTGTCCCACACTTTGTATTTTATTATAACAAATAAACCAACTTTATAGTTTGTTGGACTGTCACTAATATTTATCATAAAATAGAGTTTTAAAGGTGACTTTTATAACAATATGATTTGATGACAAAATTTGCTGCTAATGAAAAAGTTTTCAAGTTTCAACGAGGACTTTCACATACAGCTCTGATATCGCTGACATATATTAACCCTATGTAGCGTTCTTATTCATGCATCAAGCCAGTCAATAAAATACTGTCCTTGCAATGGTGAAAGTTTATGCAAATAAGCATAAGCAGGAATGGAAGATAAATACACAAGTAAATGAAAAACAACGATTGGTTTGACAGTGCTCCAAAGAAGGCAAAAAAAGTAAAGGAGCACAGATGTCGTCATGCCTACCAGCTAATTTGGCTTCACAGCTTTACGGTCAGTTGGGATGGCTTTGCTGATGGCTGGCAGGCATTTTCTCTTGGTCCACAGATTGGTACGCAGGTCACTGAGAAGGTCGAAGCAAGTGAAAACGGTGAAGACATGATGGGGTGTTGGTGGCCTCCGTTCACACAGGTTGAACAACAGGTTCAAAAGTCATTTGGTCATTCAAGAGAAGAGACATTGGTCTCCTCCACATATTGATCTCAGAGGTTAGTCTCATCCCAGGTTGGGTCGTTCATGTTCTTCAGAACTCTCCTGACGATCCTCTCCAGCTCTTTCCTCGCTCGCTGCTCCTCCTCCAGCGTCCTCTTAATCCTCTTGTTGTCCTGGAGGAGTGAGACAAAGGAAGGTGGGAAAGAGAGGAGAGAAAAATGAAGGGGTGAGAGAGAGGGAGAGAAAGAAACAAATGCTAGTTATATTTAACAGGTGTTTTGCTAACCTGCTTGTACTGTGTCTGTTAAAAGTGTTTTTTGTTGTAAATGTGGCAACAAGCATTGTCATCATTGACTTGAATATGATATTTTTTGCATTTCTAGTCTCACTCCCCCCCATTTCCCCTCAGATTGGGTCAGTAAAGCTCAATATAGCCGATACCAATCAGATAAAGAAATCCTCGGCCCGACACCACTCACTGAGATCAGATCTATAAAGTGGGACATCTGGGCAGGAAATTGATTATATCGGGATGTCTGGGTCAGTAATCAATTTCAAAAACTGCAAACTCACCTGCTTGAGTTCCTGGACCTCATCTTTGAGACTGTACACAGTGTCCACCAGACTCCTGCAGGAACAGAACAGCTCTGCTTTATACACTAGCTGCAGCCTGATACAGACAGTAAATCATTTCACATATTCACTGTAACTCCATATATATTCACTTTTATATAGTATTTTTTTAATTTTGTTTAGTGCATATAATATCCACTGCTTGTTTTCTATGTTCAACTTTTACACGTGGCACCTCCCGCTTACATGCTGTGACTGCCTACAAGTCATCATTTGATATTTTGTAAGTTTCTACCTACTGTGTGCTTGTGTTGAATGAATGGTTTTGTTGTGTGTTCAGTTTCCACCATTTTCTATATTTGTATTAGTAGCTGCATCCTTTTATTCTCTGGTGTAGCAATTCTTCATCTCCTCAGGGACCACTTTTAAAGCCTAACCTATAAACATTAGTACACAAGTACTACATACACAAAAACACACCTTCATCTCTCCTCTCTCACCTCTCCTCCACTACAGTTTGTCCATTGCTCCTGGTTTCCTCCACTATGATCTTTTCCTCCTCTGGGAACAGCATGTGTACATCCTTCCTGCTGGAGCCTGATTGAACAGTGACAGCAGTATAACTTATTACCCCGGCACAATGCACATACACATACACATGTACACTGACATACAGTTTAACTGGTAAACACAGAACACAGAAAGAGGAAGACACTAATGGGGTACCTTACAAACTACAAGTGAGAAACAACAAGATGTCAGTTTAACAATTTGCTGATGTAAAATGTCACATTCGCCCTGGCAAGTTAATGTGACTTACACTTTGGACCAAGAAACTGTAGCTAAAAGAGGAGGACTGTTCTTATGAACTGAGGAAGAAAAGCATGTCACAATAACATGACACAGCAGAACAGGTAATATGTCTTAATGATGTATAAGTATATTTATTTCCTAGGAGGGTAATAGAAGAGGGGTTTTTAGCCATGCAGTATGTACAGCCTGTACATCGCTCTCTATTTTTCCTGCATGGCTCATACATATACAATACATACAAAGACAAATACTAAGTATGCAAAATATATAGTGGATACACACACACACACACACACACACACACACACACACATACACACAGCAGGTGAAAGGCTGGGACTTTAGTTGTAAGCTAGCTGGTTGACATGGCTGGCATGTCAGTGGGTTGTGACACCGATATCTTACGAGAAAATGAGGCAGTCCTGTAACTAGTGGCAGTCCAGATACTGTCATAATCCGAGTCCTCTGACTGGTCAGAACAAGGCAGGTTGCCGGGGAAACCGGCGACGGTCAGGCTGGTGTCAGCGAGCACATGGTTATGCATGAGGTCAGTCCCTTGCCAGGCTGTACCGGGAAGTGACCAGCAATAGAGGGGGTTTGAACAAACCAAATTGAATGTTGGGGGGATGAGGGGAGGAGTACAAACCATATTGGATAAAGGATGACGGTTTGGGGCAAACCATATTTTAATTGTGGATGTTTAAAAAAAAAATAAAATAAAAAAAATGTAAAAAGGAAAATGTTTTTGTTGGATAAATCATGTTAAATTTAAGGAAACAAGAGTAAGACACAGAATAAAAGCAAGGATGACGGTGATGAAACCAACCAAAAGCATTTGGATGGAAGTAGTTAATGAAAAAAACAATGTGTGGAGGAAGAGGAAAGCAGAGGAATGCAGGGAAGACATAAAAAGAGAGGAGAGAGAAAAATATTGTTAGACAGCAGAGAACAAACAGTGGTTAGCAATAAGGCTTCTAGCAGTGTGTGAGCATGCTGATGTGTGTGTGTGTGTGTGTGTGTGTGTGTACTCACTGGAGTTGAGAGTCTGTCGTGTCTTGGCGCTGGTACAGTAGGCCTCAATCACTTTCAGTATCTGAGCGTCCTCCTCTAGAGCTGCTGTACCTGAAGGACAGGGCAGAAGGACTGGTGAGATGGTGGAGGAAGATGGAGAGAAGAAAGTGTTCAAGTCTTCCTAAATTATGCAAACAGAGGACTTTTTTTAGCTACACAGTCTCTGTCAGGCATACTGAAGAATTACAGTTCTTTGCAACGTTGGAAAACAGCCATCTGCAGCTGTAACTACGATTCAGCAGTAAGGAATAAACAATACAAATGGAACATGACTTGAGATCAACTCCAAATATTATCCTTAAATCCTTTGTTGTGTATTTAGTTTGTTAGCAAATATTTGGGTTTTTTAATTGTTAAAATGAATGAAAATCAAGTTAAGTTACTTATGACCAATCATGTTAAATAAATCAAAGACAGATCATTTGTGACTGTCTTATTTTTGCTTGTAACATTTCAGCTGTAATTGCAGCTATTTGTTGCAGTTTCTGGTACTTGATAGCAGACAGATTAATAGGTGTATTATTTGAAATGAAGGAACTGACATCATAACTTGACATTCACCAATTATGTTCTAAATCATTTTAAAGTAAGGAAAATCTGTATAGAGGCAATAGAGACACCTGTGCATCATGTTGCATATATGGAAAAAAAAAACTTCTACGAGTAAGAGTGTGAGAGTGGTGTATTTAATTTAGTTGCACTTGCTTTTTCTGACAGTGAAGTCCTCTTCTGAAGGTTTCCTCTCTGGCTTCCTCTTCGGTAGCAGCTTCTTCATGTTCTTAGGACTCTTGCTCATATCCTACAAACAAAAACACAGAAACATGTACAGTAGGAATGTAGTTACAATCCCAATTGAACAATCTTACACATTACTCCACTGGGATAAGGGCAAGTCAATGAATTTGGAAAAAATGAAAAGCATCCTCAAGGACCCTCGAGGTCACCAGATCCCACTTTGAGCAACACATATAGTATACCATAGTATAAGTATGGTCCTGGCTTATTTAAGTATGCCAGTGTACAGCACCTCCTTCTGGCAGAGAGCAGCCGAGGGCCGGAGTGGAGGCGCAGGACGAAGGCAGCTCAGGCTCCAGGGTTTGGGGGTACTCGGTGGCTCCAGGGGCCCCCACATTGGGCTGCCGCTGTGGGCCGTCCCATATGAAGAGGGGTGGGGAAGGGTGTGGTAGGTGTGTCCAATGCTCCCTCCACGAGACTCTGAGTGTCTGGAGGGAGTGGCAGGGTGAGAGGGCAACTGGGAGAAGCAGAGGAGAGGTAAAAGAAAGGAGGAGGCAGGTGAAGTAGAAAGGAGACTGTATGAGGGCGGTAAAGTGGATGAGGATCAACTGACTAAGTGCTTAATCGACTTATTCTTTAGCAAACCTGGAGACTTACTGTGTGACAGACGGACTGATGCTTGCTGGAGTGTGTGTTCGCGGCTGAAGTGTGTGTGTGTTTGGTGAGGAGGTCCAGCCAGTCCTGTAGATCTTGCTGACTGTTACATGCCACCTGCATCCGTTCACCCTGGCCACCTGCACGACAACCACACACATAAAACCGAATATATAAATGTACAGGCAAACAGACAGAGGTCACACAGATAAAGCTTTCTTACACTTTGTCTGACCACTGACTTTTTCTATTTACAGTAAGCTAGTGACTTACTACTACATTTCCTCCTATAATGGCTTTGAACAACACACAGAGAAAGGGCACTGGCTTTAAATTACATTATTAAGGAGTGGAAACTTAAGCACAGTCAATAGAAACCTGCCTGCGCGTACCAAATTCCACTTGTTAGCTTTCAGGTATCCAGTGTACTTCAGCGACAGTTTGTTAACTAACAACATAGCTAACATTAGTCACATTACTTGCTGTGTCGTTGATCGCACTACATCTTGGTACTCTCCAGAATCGCTTACCCCACCTTTAAAGTGAGAAAGGTCTGTTAGCTGAATGAGAGAGGGGGCTGACCAGATATTTCAAAAGCGTTCTTCAGGTTTTCTCCGTCTTCTATTCTGGAGATGAGCATTCCTGTCAGCGGCATCCTCCCCTGCAGAGACACACAGTGTGTAAATTAGTGGACCAGAGACCAATCCAGTGCTTGTTGGGAGTTTTTGAGGTCAAACAGCTAATTCAATTGCAACATTTGTAATAGTATTTTTACTGCACAAGAGTGTGCATTAAGGTTATACAGAGATCATTATTTAAGTTTCGTGTCATGTACTGTAAATACCTGATAGATGAATCCACTCATCCTCAGACTGGCAGAGAGCATGAGCAGAGTGTGAGGGAAGAGGACGAGGTAGCGTTCATTAAACTCCTGAAAAGCAAAGAAAATGTACCTTTTACATACCATTTCATAATCACTCAAACTCAACAGTCATTGTGGTTCTGAATGCAACCTCAGGGTCCAGTTACACCATGCCGTTCTGGGTCAATTACTATGAACTCTCATCTACAAAACAGTGTTACAAATGGTACTGATATATGACTCATTTGTGGTGAGAGAAGAATGTATCTGTAATTTAGAGGAAGGTGGTGAAGTTGTTTGGAGGATGTGGCGAGTACCTGACAGCTCTGAGTGTGGACTGTGGCTTGGGACATGTGGAGAACAGGGCCAAGGGTTCTGATGTCATCCCCTTCCCAATTCCTGATTGGCTCTGTTAAAATCTGCAACTCCAGGTCCTTCTTCTTCCTCACCTCCAGACATTGAGCCTGAACACACACACACACACACACATACACACACACACACACACACACACACACACACACACACACACACACACAAACACACACACATTCAAAGGCACATAAATGCACAATGTTGCCTGTCAGTAGGTATGATTACACATCAAGGTCAGGAAACAAAGAAAACATGAGCTACTGTGAGCATCCTTCAGTATTAACAGAAGAAAGTCATCCCTCCTTTCCAGAATACATTGATAATAACAAGCAATTGTTTTGTCTGTTTTTAGAATACAATCTGAGGTGAGTTACAATTGTGACTGAAATAAACTGAAAACTCTTTCTAAAACAAAGCATATTTAAGAGAGCTTACAGTGTAAATAAAGACACACATTCAAGCCTGTGAGACTAACTAATCAAGTACAATCAATATGTAACTACAATACATGTGGGTGTGTGTTTGTATCTTACTGCAAAGCTTTTAAAGGCCGCCATGCAAGCAAGGAGGTCAGGCCTGTCAGGATGTTGGTCCTAAGACAAAGACAAAGATAAAATAAAACATACAAAAAACGTTGGAAAGATAATTTTTCCTGCATGCAGATTCAGATCACACTGTTCACTCAGTTTATTGCTTTTATATTTAATGGGTAACTGTATACGCACAGATTAAAATAGAGAGCCTTTTGTAGACAATAACAATTATTATTTTAAATCCAAGTTAACCTCCATGTGTCTGTCCAGTTCCTTCAGCAGTGTTGGGTATCTCTCCAGTCTGGTGAAGGGTTTACTCAGACTAGTGGTCAAAGTCAGGATCCCAGGAGTGGACGCCCCCTTTGACTCCATGTACTCCCCCAGTTCCTCACTATGATGCACACACACAAACAAGCACACACGTTTTCTCTTTCGTTTGGTTTTGTGGTTTAAATATGCTCCTGCAAACACAGTACAAGTGAATGTACCTGTGTTGTGTGAGTACATTCACAGCAGACGGGTGGGTGGAGCAGTAGGCCACATAGATGATCTTCATCTGGGGCATCAGACTCAGGAAGAACCCCCCGATCCTCTGCTGGCTCTCTGGGAGTCTACAATCACAAATGACATGTTAGATTGGATAATAACTGCCACTGTTGCCATTTAATCACACATAAAGATAAAGATACATTTAGAAAAGATCAGATACATTTGGAATCTCTAACTAGGAAACAACATTCACATCAAGACCATAAAGGTTCCTGATAACTGAGAAGTTTGTTGATAAAATTATTTTTCATTACAAATCTTACAAACTTGAACTAAAACACATGAATTGTATTTTCTTGACCTGCAGCATCTCAGGCAAACATGTTATTACGTCAGTCTACCACTAGATGTCTCTGTTGCTTTAATAACTGACTACACTCTGAGCTCGAACTGAAGCTGGAGGATGTTTCAGTAGTTAAACAGAATGTTAGCAAGAGCAGTTCTTTAAGGTTTTGCGCAGATTTCAGAAAGCCAAGTTAAAAACTCTTTAAGGTTAATCTTGTCTGCATGTAAGAAAACTATAACAAGAAACTGACCCATCTATATAACAAGACTTTATTGAAATTATTAAGAATATTTACTTTTCTTTAAAGCTGCATGTAATCAGATTTCGGTAATATTGGGCTATATGGATACAATACTTTAGTGTCATTGAACGCGAATATTTGATTTTATACATTTCTTTAGGATGTAAGTAAAGAACTATAATAGAAATTAATACTGATAAAACATTTTTAAAAAGTAACAAAATGAATATACTAAAATAATCAATTTATAAGTTCATTAAGTCAATACGTTAATTACTGTCAACTAATAAATTAATCATTTGAAGTCTCTAAACACTAATTTAAGTGCCATATGGTGCAATTGTAATTGTTGTTACCTGCTGTATCATGGTGAAAATCCTACTGCAATAACTGCTTTTGACAGCTTCTAATGTTTGATATATTTTATACTAAACAGTTAATACTATAAGCCTGACTTTCATAGATATCCCTATGAGATTACAGCATTGCATTACAAGAAAGGCCAGTATTAGCTAGTTACTAATTTGATATCATCACATACATTTGTATAGTTTGTAACACTTTCAGTGCATCTGAGGCAGGCAGAAAGAGATTGGTGCACTGACTTTGTATGCTCCTCCAAGGACTGAACCAACATCTGCTGGAAGGTTGAGATCTCTTCCAGATTTCCCTGAATGTGACTGATGTCAACACTGCTGAGTCTGCAAAACAGAAGAGAAGAGAGGAGAGGCGAGGATTCTATTCATTATTAATATATGTATTCAATATATGCATTTAAATATAGGATACAGTACATGTGGTACTGTATATAACAGTGTGCATATGATATAGACAGTATATGTGTGTGATACAGTACATGTGTGTTCTTATATTCTGTAAAATTGAACAGATTATATTGGTCTTGCAGATATGCTAGTGTGTGTGCCACCACATCGAAAATTCAACTCACTGTTGAATAAAAGAATAAAAAGTGTAAAAATAACTCCACCTGTCTGTGGGGTGAAGTGAGCGAAGGTACGAGCCCAGGAGACTCTGTAGCTCCCTCGAATATTCACTCTCTGCTTCCAGGATGTTTTGTAGGACCTGACAGAGACATGAAACACAAATTCACACACACACACACACACACACACACACACACACACAAACTTAATTACGAGGATATAAAGAATAGTATGGAAAAGATTATATGATAGCACTTTTAAAATTGCAGTACTGTATGCTTGGGCCAAAAAAAAATCCCTTATTTTCATAATCGATTCATTGTTTGAGCCACCTTTTGAACAAAAATGGGAAAATTATTTTTCTGTTTTGTATAATGGCAAACCGAATATATTTGTTGTTTGTTGTTTTTGTTTGTGTTTTGGGCTGTTTTATAGACAACAAAACAGACATTTGAAGCCTGTGATGGGCTGTCTAATACTGTAGACCAATTGATTAGTCGGTTAGTCAATAAAATAATTGGTAGATTAATGGGCAATGAAAATATATTTATTTAATAATTGTTAGGTAATCCAATGAATCCCTGTAGGCAATAAAATAACCAATTACATGTGAATTAAATGATCTAAATGTAATATATTATTCCAAATATCCTTTGTTATTGTTATCACAGTGGAATATATTCATATCACATATATTTGGAGTAGTTATAATGGAGTACTTCTGGCACTTTCTATACAAATGGGTTAGAAATGTGAGTATCTGAATGTGTACCCAAAGTCAAAATGAGCCTGTAAACTGTTGGCTTTTGAGTGGGAGATGCATTCTGTAATGAGCTAATGGAGAGCGATATCAGACCCTATGGGAGCTATAACACTGGCTCGAGTAGATTTCCACGGGTGTGACTCCACAGGCTAACCGGCTAATCTCTCCACAACATCAGAAACCTCTCAGGAACGAGGTTTCTGGTAATGAATTGAGACAGTAACACATGTTGCTGTGTCTCCCCTCAGAGGAGGAGGTAGTAAAAAATGAACATCAGCTTGAAGCAGCTCCAATTATTTATCTATAATACATATTTATGTATTTGCTTTTTCATCAAAAATGCATGTGTATGAATACACGAAGAAGATGGCAGAATATGATGAAATATTGGTATTTTCAAACAAAAGCGGGGCCTTTAACAGACTACACAAACACACAAAGAACAACAACACAAGCTTCTGTTCTAAAGCTTTTTGGGAAGCTCCATTAGAATAAAAATAAAGATAAAACGTCTTTATATTTTGCATTTCTGTCTGGGAACAGCTTTGACTTGAGGCAGGGTCTCTGAGTGAGCGAGAGACAGAGACTCAGGGACCCCCAACCAAAGATGGACAGTCTGGAGAGACTGCTGGAGCTTGCTGCATTATTCAAACACACACAAACACTTGCACACACACACACACAAACACTTGCACACACACACACACACACACACACACACAAACACTCGCACACACACACACACTGGCAGAAGCCAACCCTGAGGCAAGGCTGCCCCAGAAACCACTGGAACGGAAAAAATAACCTACATTACATCGGCTGCACTCTTACACACACACACACACACACACACACACACACACACACACACACACACACACACACACACTCACACGCTCACACAGATACAGGGGTGCCATGCTGGCTCCACAAACAGTCACATGCTTATACACACACACATACACGCACAGCTACACAATCACTAATTGGATGAATTAGATGAAAGATAATTGATTGTAACAGTCCACAAGAGCAGACACACATTAACCATCACCCCATCAGTCTAACCTTAGAGATGTACCAGAAGAGATAGAATAATCCTTGCCATAAACGCCACAATCTAACATATATGTAACTCAAATTCAAAATCCAAATTCAATCCCTAAGCTTTTGTGATAGAAGTGAGAACCGATAGAATTTCCTTGATTTCCATGATTGGTACAGTTTAGTTAATGCAGTTTTAACATGGGCATGCACAAACACACAGGGTTTCTTGAGAGTATGACCAGCTCACCACATTGTAGTATGTCTTGCTGATGATAGTGGTGTCGAAACCTTTGGGAGGGCTTTTCACTGTCCCAGACTTTGGCTTGTCTGATGTCTTGTCTATAAAGAGAGAAAGAGGGAGAGAACAGTTCAAAGACCAGATGGACACAGGAACAAGGTGTAGGCACATTACATCCAGTTACACTTAAAGTGATGAAAAGTTCTTTTTAGGAACATGTTTTGCTCCTCTCTGTTAGTGACCGTTATTCCATGATAAAAAGTGTGTGACCTATAAAACTCAAACCTTTTTAAAAAGCAAATACAAAAACAAAAATGTCACAGTTCACCTTCCACTTTATTGTCTTACGAGAACTAGAAGGGCATTTAAAGAGCGCAGACCTCCGCCGATTGGACATTTGGTCTTGGCGGAAAAATCAGAATTCTCGTGGTGGACGAACATTCTCATCAATAAAATTACATGAAAAAATGCCTACTTTATGAAGTTCCAACATTTCCTGTAGGGCAACGTTGCTGTCATGCATTCTACAAAATGTAGGACAAGCAATGATTTAATTTACTGACTCACAATGGCATGTCTTTTCCCCGTCCGAGTTATTGTCTTTTCAACATAGGTCGGCCAATAATAACGCATGCTGTCATATCCTTCAGTTCACTATTGTCCTTTGCAGACAATGCAATGTAAAGCTAGAAGCTTAATGTACTTTTTAGACCTATCAGACTGAATAGAGAAAGTAAAGAGCTACTTAAAGCTGTATGCTCTATAATCAGGATACTAGGAAAGATTTAGAGAAGTATTCTTTACCTAGATTTTAACCTTAATCGTTGTCTTGGAGCAGAAATAAATAAAGCCCAAAGACTGCTCTATGTGTGCATTTTCTTTATAATTCTGAACTGAGTCTGAATAACAACGATTTATGTCAGCAAACCAAGACAACAGGCACGTGCAGCTTCCAATTCACCACTGTTTACTTGACAAATAATGACAGCTAAGTCCCTCCAGTGCAAGCTATCTGCTATCTCACACATCAAACTCCCACTGGCTATAAGAGTCTACCATTCCTCCATGTTATCATGGTCCTTGTTTTCTGCTGCAAGCTTTAAGTCAGGAAGTGAGATTCTATACAGCAGCTCTGGAACTTCCTGTCTTTGTTTGCTTGCGGAGCTTCCTTCCTTCGTTCCTGCCTCCCCTCCTCAGAAAGCAACACAACCAACACAATCAAACAGGCCAGGAGGATCTCTTATGAGCCCAGCAGTGCTCAGTTTGAAAAATAAGAGAAAAACCCTCCAAAATTCCTTTGATGACCTTTATCTCAAGTCTTTACACCAACTACAAACACAGCAATTATTATTTTATGAGTAAATCTTTGTGACAAAAAGATCAAAAGAAGTTGAAAGTTTTAGATTTATTTTGATTCTTGTCGATTTAGATGTGTCTATTAAATAAGCTTCAAATGCCTTCATCTTCTCTTAATGTATCCACACAAGTGTCTGCATTTAATGCCTTCAAGCCTTAAATTAAAACCCTTAATCCCTCGTTTCTATACAGGACTTCACTTCTTTTAAGAGTCATGCAAGTGAGTCAACTTCCTTAAGAAATCACACTTATCAGTAAAAACAGAAGTGCAGGAAGTCTGTTTGTGCGTCTGTGTGTGCGTTTTGTCTGTGTCAACGCTTTGAGAAATTCAAATTCAAATTCATACTGTAAGCTTTGAGTCTACTATGGTAGAAACCAGGTACTGTATGTGTGATATTTGTGTGCAGGAGAGGTAACTAAACCTACAGCTTTAACCGAAACAGCAAGAAGGAATCAGTTGGGTTCGTTCACACTGTTCTGAATAATGAAATAAATGATGCCAAACGCCTGAGAAAAGCAACAGCTGCACCCACCGCTTCCTTTCAGCTCCCGCACATAGTTACTTGGGAACCACCCGGATTTGCCGTTCAATGAGCCTTCCCACCAGCCCCCGTCCTCCTGCCGGCTCACGCTGATGATGTCGCCCTTGGAGAAAGAGAGTTCATCCTCATTGGTCTGCTGGAAGGGAAAGCGCGCCTTGACCAGAAAGTGGCCAAACCCACTGCCCTCTGACATGTCCTGTGGAAAAGGAGAACAGGGAAGACAGAGCTGACTGAATCTGTGCATAATGTACTGTCTGGGTATGTTTGTTTACTAGTGTGGTCAGAGCCAAGCTTTCCATAAACCCATTCAAACTACTCATTTTCAGATTAGAGTCATAAATCTGATCTGAGATTTATTTACTCAATATCCTTTTGGAAAGCCAAGTCAGAGAAGCACCTACACTGTACAAGAGCGAGGACTTCAGAGGATGAATGTCTGAGTTTAATATCACTTCTGTATATGTAACCCCAGTCTGTGTTTATCTACTGTCATTACTTCTGAGATGTGTCGTCGTCGTTGTCATGGTAACTCACCAGGCTGCGGTACTGAGGCTGCAGCAGTTTAGAGGAGCGACTCTGAGTGTTCAGAGAGTCAAACGACTTGATCCTCAATGTTGAGGAGTGCGGCACACACACACTGTCTTCAGAAACACCTAAATCTGCACACAATGGTTCAATTAATTGTCAATTTTAACTATTCAAATTCATTTTTTCAGGTTATACAGCACTTGATAAGAACAAAGTCAGGTTGAGCAAAAGAAAGTTCATTAAAATCACATAAACACAATAACTGTACCTTCAGTAGCTTTGTTAAGGGCAACCAAGGAGTTTAGGACCTTGGAGAAGTTCAGTCCCTGCAGGAGGTCATTGACCTCAAAAGGCTAAAGGAGAGGAAACGGAACAAAGATGTAGAATAAATGTTAGAATGGCAATAAATGATGGAGGACTTTGATACAGGAAAGATGTACACACATTCATCATAAATTTATAGAGCATGACATCAGCAAGGACACAAAGCCTTCTCCCTGACATTTCCAAGCATGTATCTCACGCAGAGATGTGCTGGTAAACAGAAACACAGGGGCCTATGACTTCCTGTTTGTGATCATAATAAGCTGACACATCAGCACAACAACAACTAAAACACACTGTAACAATACAGTTGAATGCATTCAACAAAATAATCTTATTTATTTTTAAATTGTAGTTTTGTTCCTTTACAATACACTCTCCTTATTTAACCTGCATCAGGACTTATTGTGAATGTACATTATGAAAACATACATTAGTCTGAAAATGAAGAAATACTGAGTTTAGTTGGGGTTTACATCCCTGCTCCAACTGCAGTCTGAAGAAGGATTACTCAAAGTCTGAGCTTCCCCTTGTAATCTCCCCATCACACACACACACACACACACACACACACACACACACACAGCCATAATCAAAATACCTCTGAAGCCCCTAATCTCATGTATACCACACACTGACTGACTTCTACATTCCCAAGGCGTGAAGGTGGAGCAGTCTGGGGCGTGAAAGTCAGAGCTGAAACATCCCGATTTGGGACTTTAGACTGAATTTAAAACTATTTCAAATTAAGAGCCCAAGGGTACATGCAGAGAGCAGCCACAAAGAGTTAATTCTGCATGTTTTTACAGATAGGGTCAACAACAAAACTACACAGTTCGTTAATATAGTCTTGCTTTTAAGAATCCACTTGCTGTGATTTATATACCACGGCTGATTAGTAGTCAGAGCAGTTTGGACCCAACAGTTAATACACACTTTCATCTCTCCCACTGGCATTGGGCCAAGACACAATATGGGGCTTTCTACTCATTGCTGCAGTAGAATTGTAGCAGAGCTGAGGTTGCATTTGCACATATATTACGTATTTAGCTGCCACTGCTTCCAGTACAATAACGTATCAATGGACATGATCAATACTGAAATCTTACACCGAGAACCACGTGTAGAACGTTGGCGACAAAGAAAAGCACTCTTGGAAGGATCTTATACCTCAATATTGGAGAAAAGTGCATTTGATAATGAACTATCAGATAGCACTTATTGATCCCTTAAAGAATTTGGTAGATTTTGCATGACGATATAGTTGTTAATCAATCATTAAGTAAACGACAAATGACCTCATCGGGCTCAGGACATCTCATCCTGTACATGTCTCTGCTTCAGCACATGAATTTCAATTCCAGGAGCTGCTGCTGTCCAATCAGAGCCCAGTATTATGAGGAGTTAGATTCCTTTAATCCAAATGATAGATTATTTATCATGAGGATTATTTATTCATCTTTAAGAATAAGTTAGTTTTACTGGACTTGAAAATCTTATTTGGACAGAGTACTGTTCTGTAAAGTACAACCGGCTTTAAATATACAGATATTTCAATGAAAATGAATACTGTTCAGATGACAGAGTGTCTTCTTAAAGATAAATATAAATCAGATTTGAGATGATATAAATGCTGCTGCAATTTGCACCTAAACAGAATCTATTAATAACTACATCTTAAATGCAGTTACGTTCAGATTGTGCCTGTAGTGAGAATACTCTCGCCTGTGAGAGGAACGTAATCACTGCATGTTTAAAACAAACGCCTGTGATCAGTTAAACAGCTTACCTGATAATAGGGAGCACTTGATTTAATGCCGCCGAGAGGGCACTCTAAACACGCAGAATCAATATCCCACCCGATTAAGTTTCATAAATAGCAAAAGCCCAAATTTATGCTCTGATTAATTGTGTAGCTCCGGTTAATCGCAGAGTGAGAACTCATCCACGCTCGTGTTGGCACTTGTCGTCCACTCTGTAATCCTCCTCTATCGGACAGGCAGTCTGGCTCGTCCTCTGCTTGTCCCACGACTGTCTGGGAGAATTACTACGCTGATGTCAGTCAGGCTGCTGGTAATGGAGGCCTTGGCTTCCAGCAACATGGCTGACATGCCTCTAATCAACCTGATTGGAAAATCCACTGGCTGCCTGGCTTGTTGCATTACATCAGCCCACCCTTCTCCTTCTCCTTCTCCTCCATTTCATCTTTTCAAACTCTTTCCTTTGCTCCTTTGCCTCGCATTCAAGAAAGCCACCACCCTCTCATTACTGACTGGGCTTTCAGGGACCTCAAAATAAGTCTGGAGCAAAATCTTGTTATAGGTCTACAGCCCAGGAGACCTGTGTTGCATAACCAGCTCTTTTTCAATATGAGTCAATTTTTTCCACTGCTAAGATCAATAGTGTGTGTGTGTGTGTGTGTGTGTGTGTGTGTGTGTGTGTGTGTGTGTGTGTGTGTGTGTGTGAGTTTCTGGTGTCATTTTGTACTACTCTACTCACTAGCCCTCTCTTCACACCCACAGTGGGGCAGGATATAACCTGGCTTGACCCACTGTTGTGCAAACACAGACACATGCACACACCCTAATACATGTTTTTGAACTCTGATAACAATACAGATATATTTTAGATAACATGCCAACAGCCAAACATTCTGTATTGATTTCAATATTTCCAACTTTATATTTGAAAGTCTCTGTGCCAAACAATTCTTCAGCTAATGATTGCTTCCCGCAAAGTAGAAAAGAGCATTCAGACCTCTGCTAGAGTTATATAATCACCATGATCATCATCAATAACAAAAACATCATGTGAGAATATTCATACAAAACTGTACAGAATCTGATTCAAACGTCTCATCAGAATCCCCTTCGTGGAAGGATTCCCATAGACAGTATTGATCAAGTCACAAACAAACTCTATCTGTATCACATCTGTCATTTCAAAGGGGGACCACGCCAACTGACTGCACTACAGTTCTCCTAAATACAAAGACAAGGCCAACACTCAGTATGTTCATCTATTCCACCAACTCCAACAAATAAACCATAATCCATCCTCCTGCAGCAATCGTACATTTAATCCTACAGGTTTAAAAACATCTTATGGAAACAGCCCGGACATCGAGCTCATCGCCGTTGGACTTCGTCCACGTTATCTGCCGCGGGAACTTTCCAGTGTTATCGCCATCTCTGTTTATATTCCTCACAGTGGTCGTTATCATCACCATCACTGTTTACATTTATGATGTCTTATTTATTCTCCTGTACAGCACTTTGGTCAACTTTGCTTAACAAATAAAGTTGGATTGGATTGGATCCTTTAATAACATAACTTCATTGCAAATACCACAATTAGTGGTTTCCAGCTTAGATAGCCCAGCATGTTATATGAGGATAGGCCCCCTTATAAGCAAAACTGACAACTTAATGATAAGACAACATTTATACAGGGTTTAACTAATGGCTTTATTAATGGACATAACTTTTGGGTTGTCAGGTTGTGAAAAATTGCGGACTATTTACCTGAACCTGAACTTTTTAGCATTAGAAAAACTGCAGACTTGATGATTAAACCTTGTTATTAATGACTTACTAATATTTATAAGTACAGATTTGAAAGCTTAAAGGACCAGGATTTAGTGGCATCTAGATGCACGCCCGCTGATGGGGGGGACAAACGGGTCTGTTGTCCCGGGCCCAGGGTAGGGGGGGGCCCAGAACTGGGCCCTCATTAAATTATGGAATAATTTTTTCAAATTAAAATTATTTGTAATATATATATATATATATATATATATATATATATATATATATATAAAAAATATGTAATATTTGAGTTACATAACATCTTTTTATTTGTGTTCTTCCTAATTGTCCTTGAAATAGTGGTCCAGAACCCCCCCGACCCCAACACAAAAATGGTTTGGCCACTGATTGAAATTTGATGTTGTCGTTGATTTGAAGTTCAGTACGCTAAAAAAGTCCGGTCAGCACAAGTCCGGTGCTCAGAAAAGGAAAGAAAAGAGAAGAGAAGAGAAGAGAAGAGGAAAATAAAGAGGCCTTAGACATTTTAAATATTTAAAAAAAGGTGGTGACGGTGAAGCTGGAACTGCTAAAGTTAACGTAGAGCAAGGTAAGAAACAGCGCAGCCAATGTTTAGCAGCCTTGTAACGTAACCTAACAGGCCAGCTCTAATGTTAACGTCCATCAGCTTGTATAAAGCCTGGCACATCACGTTATCTCCGACAGAAACAGTTGAGTTTGGTAGCTCCGTCAGAGAGGATGAGACAGAGAGGAGAGAGATCCAGCTGCAGGCAGGTGACAGAGAGAGTGATGCAGGAGGGGCTCGCTGCCCCGCAACGGAGGGACAGAGTCAGGCTACTGGTGAGAGAGAGAGAGAGAGAGAGAGAGAGTCACAGTCACAGTGGAGCGGGAGGGGCCCGCTGCCCCGTCGTAGAGTCTGAGCAGAATGGATCAGAGATCACACACTTAATTTCAGTGATCCTGCATTATGGCCAACAAGAATGACCGACTCTGATAGAGTGAACCTCGTACGTGTGATGGCGCCTTTCTCAGAGAGGACAAAGGAATTGCCAGCAGATGCAGAGGGCAGGGAATTCCCAAACTATCTGACATATTCCACATCCCACAATGGAAGGGAAAATATGGGACTGGATAGTATATAGCAGCTCAAAAAAGGCCTTATTTTGCCTACCATGCTTGCTGTTCTCCTTTGAAGTAGAGAAAAAGTCAACTAGTGCACTAAATTCCAGAAATTTACAGAAAGCTCTATGAGAGATTTCCAGAACATGAAAGAAACCTTGCACACAAACATTGTTAATGGAAGGAGAGGAAGAGCAGAGGAAAAGGAGAGATCTGGGCGTGGGGGGGCCCATCTAAGATTATCTCGTCCCGGGCCCAGGCAAGACTGTCAGCTGGCCTGTCTAGATGTGAAGTTACAAACTGCAACTGAATACTGTTTGCCTTCCAAGCATGTAGGAGAAACTACTGTGGCTACAAAACGTAAAGTGTGAAAGGTCCTATCTAGAGCCAATGTTTGGTTTGTCTGTTCTGCGCTACTGTACTGTACTCCGTAGAAGAGTACCAGCTCACTCTGTAGATAAAAACATCCCAGAACACACAATTATTCTTATATTCAGGTGATTATACACTAATAAGAACATACCTATGAATATTATATTCCATTTCTGACAATAGATCCTCCTACATGTTCCACACTGAACCTTTAAACTAAAGTTTGAAAACCATGCTTATTTATCAATGGATCACCAACCGTTGTAACTTAACTTCCAAAACAAAACATAATTACCAAATAAAAAGCACACTTACCAATAATTTTTCACAACCTGGCAACCTAAGAGTTGTTATTATCAATGGCTAATTACTGATCCATGAAGGTCTATTAGGCCTACATGCTTTACTAACCATTAATAGAGCCATAAATTAACACCTGTTTCTGAAGATATGAGTAACACTCACTTACATTAGTGTCTGTTTGTCTTATGAAGCACTCACTGGAGGTCACATACGTATTTACAGCTAAATCAATCAGTTTAGATGTTTGAATGTCTGATGAACAAACATTTCTGAAATTAAAATATCAAATCAATTACACATAGACAAAGTATTTGTACTTTAATTTCTCATTATAAAGATACATATCCTGCCCTGCCTCTGCCATATTTAGGCCTACGTAATCAGCAGCTCCCAACCTGGGGGTCGGGACCCCTGCTAGGGCCAAAGCTTCATAGGGGGTCATGAGGCCTTCTTGGTTTTAAGTGTTGAGGTGTGCTAGAGAACTTATATGTAACATGATCTATATGTCTTCCGTGAAGTAAATTAGTTGATAGAACAATGGCCAAGCATCGGGGACAAGAAAACACAAAATTTGCCCTCCCCCTAAAAAAAAAAAAAACAATTTAAAAATACATAATACAGCGAGGAATTGTATAAAAAGTAACAGGAAATAATCTGCTCAAAATGAATCAAAATCACTAATTTAACAGCAACTTGTTGCAGTTACTGAGTTCACTATTTGGGTTAATTTAATCAACATTTTTGAAGATAATATGAAATATCCATAATATATATATGTCGCTGAGTCAGGGGTCCTCAGTTGATAGAATATGATTTAATATATATATATATATATATATATATATATATATATATATATGTAATAAGGATAAAGATTGTGAACTAAACGATACCTTCAGGTGCTCGTGACTACAATACCTGCTGCTGTCTCGTGCTGTGAATAGGAGCTAACATTAACAGTATAAAGGACTTCACTGACAAACAGCAGGACACAGAAGTTTTAAAGGATGCTTTAAACGCTAAATAGGTTTGTGTTGGGAAGAGGCAATCTGTTCTCTAGACTTCATACTGTGTAAGTGCATTAATAAATATACATTATTGATAGGTTCACTCACCTCCACACCGAAAGCCCCGCAGCCTTTAATGAACTCGGTAATGTTCCTCTGACACTCGCTGTCGCTCCTCGGTTCCTGGAAAAACTACACACAGAAAGTGACTAACTTAGCTTCAAATGCTAACACGAAATGTGAATAAACAGTTAATTGATATATTTCAGGTTTTTACGTGTGGGAGCTTATTCCAGGCGCTGCTGGTGCACTTGCCACTTGCTGCTTATCAGCATCAAGCTAGCTAATAAGCCACACTTCCGGTTTCAACTTTCAAACTAAAGCTTTAATTGAAAGATGTTTTCATACATTTTGTGTTTGCAATTGCACCTTCGGTAAAAGTTACCGTTATTTTATTGCAGCTAGTAGTAGATACCTAGCTGTTCTAGCCTAGTGTATCTTACATTTTTTCAATTAGTCCTGAGGGATCGTTCCAGTTTTTTATCTTGTCGTCCTAGTCTCCATCAGTTGTCCTATCTGGTAATTATTAGAAGAAACTTAGTTATAAACCATATAACATTGAACGTAAAATGAAGTTCTGTCACACCTGTGGACTACCTGTGGCAGAATTGTTCCTAGAGGAGGTGTAATGTATAGTAGAGGGGGTGATCCACAGCCGCTGACACGTTTTATACCTTTATTTTGAAAGCAGCAGTGCCTCTGTCTGTGTTGTAGCTAACAGAGGCTACTTTGATAGAGATCTACAATCTCCCAGGGAAGTTGGATAAGCCGAAGGAGGATATGACGTTGACAGGTCCATGGTCCAATGTGCGTGTGTGTGTGCGTGTGCGTGTGCGTGTGTGTGTGTGTGTGTGTGTGTGTGTGTGTGTGTGTGAGCGACAGAAAGTCAAAATGAAATTTTAAATTCAAATTATTATCATTACAGTCAAATAAATGTAGAAAAAGCCTATATTCAATATATATAGTTGTGTTACAGCATTTCTATTAGCATTGTTAGTAGACTATTGCAGCAATACATTTTTATTACTTAATTTAGGCAGCAATCAGGTCTCAGGTTTACATATAATAGGTCACATTGTTTCCTATCTTTTATATTTTCCCCTAAAATAAATATAAATATTAATAAATAAATATGTAAATTAAAAATTAGATAAAGTGAAACAGTGAAACAACGGCACAAAATAAGAGCATATAAAAGAAAGCATAACCCTGAGCAGTAAAAAAAAAAAATCACAATTACCTGCAGCCTGTTTATTAAATAACAGTAGTAAGTGGTAGTGGGTCTGTAATCAATATTACAACAATTTCATATTTACCTGAGAAGCCTAAAATGTGTTCACCATTTTGACTTCAGATGGGTTGTTTGACAACAGACGGAGAAAACACTTCACTCTCAAAATGTTCTCATGAATAATTTATGATCATTTGGATTTAGTTTTATTTGAGATGATTTGTAAACACTTCACCTTTTTAAAACATGTTACTGTTCAACACTGCTTTTCTTCAGGAGCCCTAAATTCCACAGGATGTTCACATGATAATTGGGTTTATTTATTCATAAGGGCAGAAGTTATTTGCTTTTATGTTGTTTTCCATGTTTTTACATATCATATATTTTTAATAATGTGTTCTTTTTGTTTTTCTTCCATAGCCCTCTATCCCCCCATCCACTTACTTTGTCCACCGTCCCGGGTCTGAGTCGCTCCAGCAGCTTGCACAGCACCGCTCCATCCTGCAGAGATGTCTGGAGAAAAGCCTCAGGATCCGAGATGCTTTTCTTGGGAGACTCCAGGACCCCGAGCGTTATGAGCCACGTTACCGTCTGCTCGGCCGAATTCATGCCTGGCTCTCTAATGTCATAAAACAGCAGCAGCAGCAGCGGCAGCGGCGCTCCTCGGTGTCCGGCTGTCCTACTTGTGGTCCGTCCACAATGAGGCAGGAGAGTCAGCCCCGCCTTGTTTGAACACTACAACCAGCACGCGCTGGTTGGATCACACAGGCTGTTGTTCCAAAACAGAACAAATATTTGTGGAAATGGGAAGTAAAGATGGTTCCTTCCTTTAACAGCTTTTAATTCTCTCTCTCTCTCTCTCTCTCTCTCTCTCTCTCTCTCTCTCTCTCTCTCTCTCAGCGGATGTTGGCATCACCTCTGCTGGTGTACACCACTGTAGCAGCAGCGCCAGTGTCAAGACAGGCACTGAAAGACGTGACTTCCTTTCAGTTTTTTCATATTAAAAGCATACACTTTACATGGCAACTTTTTTGTGAAAAAAAGAATGAGTGTATAGTGTCTCATATGTTTTTTCTGCAAAAAAGAGTATAATTAAAATCCTTAAAAAGGCATCTACTCCTTCTACCTCATTGTGAATATGCAACTGTGGTCCTGTGAGGTCCACTCTCAGTGTATGTGCCCTGGTGGCAGATTCAATTCTGGTCGAAAATGCGTATTAGACCAGGATTTGGTAACACAAATCATATGATAATACATGAAATAATACAGTCTGTGTACCGCACTAATAAAGCAAACTGTAAATTGAAATAACAGAAATATTATTCAAATAAGCTCAACTGGTATGTAAGTACATAATAAAGGTATATTGTTTAATTACAAAAAGGCATAAAAAGACTTAATAACAGAAACATAGTGTACATTATTATTCAGTCTACAATCATTGTAAAATACATCATATATCATGCACTGTGCTATATGTGTAAATATAGGCCTATTGTGTCAATCATAGTGTTTTAAGTACTGAAAGCCTATGTTAATATCCACAAGGCTCACAGAGGAGGGTCTATTACTCAGAGCTGTACAATCTTAAAAATGTCCAAATACAAACCATAAACCAGAATGTTAGCGCTTTTATTTTTTTTAATACTACTTTGATTTTACTTTGAAGGCCACAGCGTCTAACTTCCGTTTTGAGGCTCGTTGTCTTTGATGGGTTTGACGCAGCTGACAGCAGCACATCACAGGACCGTCCCACGCATTAACAGGCTAATTATACACAGACCAAATAGCAGTAAATGAAATGTATTTCCTTAAAGTTCATCTCTATTACCAACACTATTTTGGATAAATACATGCGCTGTGCCAAACCCCATTTAAAAATCTACACATTTAAAATATGTGGCTGATTTATCCACACAGGAATGTGACCCTCGCAATATTCTTTTTACATTTACTCTCAAATTTGTCTGCATTACGTGTTTTAAAACAAGTGCTGCTGTGATCCTAGTTACAGCTTGAAGAGTATGTCTCATTGTTCAGAGTCAGCAGCGGGAATAAATTGTGTCAATGCACTGATTTATTCAATGAACCATAACTTACGCGTTAAGTCAATTTCATCTGTGACTGCAGGGGCATGACATTATTAATTCATTGACTGAAAGCCTTTTATCATCAACTGTGTCAAACTGGGCTGTATCGCCCTCTGCTGGACGGTTTTAGTTTGTAGTTGATAGCAAAGTTTCTACTTTATAGTTTGTTAACTAATAAATGATGCCAGTAACTTATAGCAGAAGAAGGGAAATAATAATATAGAGAATAATAGAGTCATACGGTAATGTAGTGAACAAAATACAATTAAAATGTCATTATATTGTCACTGTATAGTCCCGTAATTTATTGGAATTATATAGGGATATTTAAAAGTAACCTATTAGCTACATGCAAAAGTGGAAATAGTCTTTCAATAATATCATTTTTTTCACCTACTCTATGACCTTGTGAGCTGTTTAGTGTTGTTTACATACAGATAGATTCTTTTCACAGACATTCCCAGCTCCCAAAATTTTACTGGACTTTCCAAACATGACCAGGGCTTCACTGATCTTCATCAGGCAAACATGACATCATGCTGACATCATAGTCAGCTGATCAAACACAACTAAAGGAATTAAAAGTACAACCATCAAGCTATATGAACAGAAATGGTAGCAAATGAATTGATTTCATGGAATGTGACTACTAATTTACTGGTTCCAAACCATACATGCCTAGGGATGTAACGGTATGACCTCACGGTTATAATGACCAAAATGATCACGGTTTTCGGTATTATCGCGGTATTTTCTGAAAGTGTGTTCAATATGTTCAGAAAGCACTGATAGGCCTACACAAGCTGAAATAGTTTCAAAAAGTGTAACAGTTTTTATTATATTACAAAACCTTCTCAAAAGCATCAAAATGTAACAAACTATCTTCAATCAACTGTCACTCAGCATTCTTATTAGGGGTGGGTAAAAATATCGATTCAGCAGTGCATTGTAATATATGTTTATTCAATATTGATTCATTAAATCCTCTGAATCGATTCAAGCCCCTGGCCAGTGGGGGCGCGGTGAGCAACACCTTTGTGTGATTTGCGTTGTATGGACAGAGGCCGCACTCGACCACACAGCAACAACAACATAGCAACCGAAGCAGGTAGCGACAGTGTTAAAATAGCGCCTTCAACTTAAAAGCAGTGTAAACCCGGAACACAGGAAATAGACATAAGTAAGGTAGTGTGTAAGCTGTGCCAGGCAGTACTAAAATACTGCAATAACACAACAAATTTGCACAACCACTTAAGCTGACACCATGCAGCAACCCACAGCTAAACCTGTGGATTCAAAACAGACACAACTCGACAGATCCTTCCTTTGCAAACTGCCGCCAAACTCTGCCCGCGCACAGAAGATAACGGAGTCTGTGGCCGTCTTCATATGTAAGGACCTACGACCGTACAGTGTCGGGGGAAACGGCACGCACGTTGTCTTCAGGAAACTCGAAAGATGCTGGGAAGGATTAAACACACGGTTTCCACACCGTGGTAATCAACCGTGATAATAATGATATTTGAAATGAAAACGGTAATTGTTATCGTCAACATTTTTATCGTGGTTTACCGTTACACCGGTAATCGTTACATCCCTACACATGCCCATGATGCACCATGGCACGAAAAAGCTTGTTTGAGAGCTTCATACCTAGAATTTAGGTTCATGGTGCATTCAGAAGAAAACTGGGTTGGGGTGGGGGAGTGTGAAAGTTTAATATGCTATGCATAACAGGATGTCACACTAAGTATTCATATGATAGCTGTGTCGCTTCCATGTGTGAAAGTCTGTGAGTAGCACAGGAATGAAGAGTTAGTTTAAAATATTTGACTCTCCTTTCTCTTGCGGCCACAGGTCATTGTGTTATTATTAGAAGCTTGTAGGACATCAAAATGTGACAAGGTGTCAGGCCCAGGTCAGGAAAATCAACTCCAGATCTTAGTGTCCAAGATCCAGAGATGAAAAAGCAAACAGCAGTAATGAGGCTGCTTTCTGTCCTGTCACCTTACACAGCACGTCCACATGCGCAGATAAATCATGCAGCACTCCCAGTTCATTCAGTAATTTGGCATACAGCCAGTTGAGCTCTTAACACCCATATCTGCATATTCCTAGAGATAGGTATCAGTATAGTATCACCATGCAAGTTAGACAGTAAATAGTATGAAATATGATTAAACTTCAAACTTCTGTTTTCTCGGTTTTACACACTTTTCCTGGTATTGTTGTCACACATGACCATATTCTGTCAACATACGCCCGACACACACTCATAGAGAGCCCTCTAACTCTGCTTTACTGTAAGCAAAGCCCAGACAAAACCACTGAGGTTGAACCTGAAAGCATAACAGACAGAATTTTCCATCAGCAGCGTCATGGTCACAACGGTGTACGCCTCGCCACATCTGAACAGGCTTGTCACAGCCACGCTGCAGCTTTGCATAAATGCTTCTCATCTTAAAGAAAACAGTTTTTAATTGAACAGTAATGTCCAACAATGAGCACTTGATGCGGTATGACTCTAAATGACTCTAAAAAGACATTTTCCCTGGATATTTAGCTTAAACCAAAGTGCCAATTGCTAACCAGAGCCCTGCATAAAATGCTCAGGTACCCATAAACAAGAATATGAGTCTATACCATAGACTGCATACTTAAAAATGGATGTAGTCTCGGTGGTGTCATCCATAGGTTTCTGAGCAGCAGTTGTGAAGCTCTAAGTGCGGGGACTCTGGTCGCCATTATTTTGAAAGTCCCATCTAATCCAAAATGAACAACTGAAGCCTGGGTACATGGGCCATGGAGACTTACTGCTGGAGCCAGCCTCAAGTGGCTGTTCGAGGAACTGCAGTTACTTCCGTGTTGGATTCATTTGCAGCTCCGGAGGTTGTTCTGTGAGGCTGCGGTTAGGCATAGCAGTGCTTTGAACTAAATACTAACATCAGCATGCTAAGATGCTCACATTAACAATGCTAACTGCTGATATTATGTTTATGGCAGATGCTATTAGCACCCAGGTGTCAGTAGGCAACAATGCTATTTGCACCCGGTGTAATAACCAATGTGGCAATTTTACACCCCACTATCTTTGTTTAGCGTGTTGGCATGCTAACATTTGTTTATTACTACCAAACACCACAAATTAAAGGTGAGTTGTGTGCTTGTGGGAATGTGATTACTTTTGCAGGAATAAACCAAAGTGTTAATAAACATCTGACCCAATGATGGCGCTAGATGAAAAGCTAAGGGATCATCAGAGGTATTACAATTCCTCCTGAGGGGTGAATGGATATGTGTACCAAATTTCATGGCAATTCATCCAATAGTTGCAGAGACATGTTACTCAAAACCAAAAATAACATGCTCATGGAGGTACTACAGAAACGGTAATGTCAGTAGGATCTACCCTCTGAGCTCCATGACTGTACATTGGAATCCATGTAACAGTTATAAGACAGATTTCAGTTTCAAGGAGCCATGTTAGCATAATTAAACAGCTTTTTACCTGTACTGTGCTTTTGCTCATCAAAACTTCTGGAAGAGGAATTGAGTGTAATGTAGGCCTTGCCCCTTTTGCTCAGTGGGTGGGTTGTGGTTTGATGGCGGGTGTGTGCCATTGCATGTGAGATGCAGTGACGCGGCAGTTTCATCAGTCCTCTTCAGTTTTTCTGTTAGCTGCTCTTTCAACTTCCTTATTTGCCCATAAGCACCGTTTCCTCTTTCGCTTACTGATGTGGTTCTTCTTCGGGGCACAGCTTCGGATAAGACTGCTCTGTTAACCTGCCAAAGACGATCAAACGAATCAAATCTGCACTTTACAAAGTAATATGAATACAGTCTGTTGGTGGCATTGACTTGTCTTCAGTTTTAAAGAGTGACAGCACATTTATCGTGCTGGTCCGTGGAGCTTCTGCAGCCTTTGGTGAGTACAGAGGGATCGCAGCAGGAGTTGAATCCTTTACTGAGATATGAATGTTGTTCAAATCCAGCAAGGCCATTTAATGATTGTTGTGTCCAACTCCTGTCTGTCTCCAGCTTCAATGCACCCCTTCATGCATGTGTTTTCCGTGACTGTATGTGTATGAGAGAGAAGGAAGAGAGTGAAATGGCGTGTGTAGGTGTGACAGCAATGCATGTCTAGAAGCAGTAGCATACACGCTGTGTGTGTCTGAGTGTGAATGTGTTGAGTGAGTGTGTGTGTGTGTGTGTGTGTGTGTGTGTGTGTGTGTGTGTGTGTGTGTGTGATGTCAGGAGACACCAGCACCCTGTCCTGGAGGAGCGTGTCTCCCACCAGCCAGTCCGATTCCTCGGATATGTCTCCCACGGCACACGTCACCAGGGACAGCGTCTTCCCGGTGAAGATCATCAAAGTGTGTTTCCTTAGCAACAGCTGCAACCTGGGCAAGAACTTCAAACTGGTCCGCTGTGAGGAGGGATGGACTGTCAGGGTATACTCTACTTTACTCTACTCTACTCTACTACTGTATACTATACTCTATTATACTGCACTGTATTGTGCCATACTTTATTCTGAACTCCTTTGTATTCTGCTCTAATGTACTGTATTGTACGGTACTTTACTCTACTGTACTTTTTTGCTGTTCTTCTGCGCTATACTCTATTGTGCTCCACTTCAATTTTCAATTTAATATGCTTTATTGGCATTAATGTCATATAATGAAAAAAGAAAAAAAGAAATAATACAATTCAGAAAAGTTGCAGTTCCTATATAACACAATTCATTAAGTACAATAGGATAAATCAATAAATAAAAATAACAAGAAAATGGTAGCTAACAGTAATACTGTACAATAATAATGTACTCTTTATTGTACTCTAATGCACTTAAATGCACTCTTAAATACTGTACTCTCTGCTGTACTATACTCTACTACTGTGCTTTACCATTTTATACTTTTTTATCCACATATATACTTTACTGTTCCTTTATTCCTCTTTGCTACTTTACTCTACTACTATTCTATTCCTCTAGTCTGTACCTTTCTATACTACACTGTCCTCTACCACACTATACTATGCTATCTAATGTACTATACTGTACTCCACTGCACCATACTATTATCTACCGTGCTTTACTGTACTCTACTACTTCTTTTTTTTCTTATTAAACTGTACTCAGCTGCGCAACTACACTTCTGTTATTAACTTTGCATTACTGGACTGTGCTCTACTATTATACGCCACCGTATTGAGCTACACTTGCTTGCAGTGTACTCTAAAACAAGAAAACGAGGAAGTCTGCTTTAGATTTCAGATATTTGCAGGCTGAAAAACACAAGACCTGTACAGACATTGTTGAGAAATGGTTTATTAGGTAGAAGAGGCTTTTAGTGACGTTAACTATCAATCTTATTTTTGTTTTGCATACTTAATCAGCAGCAGCTCACATTCACATTTTGAAAGCTGCCATCCCAGAGACATTACTGTATAATTGCTTCTGTCCCAGACTGTCATGAATATGGTGCTATCCAGTGGCTGTGTGGGTCCAGACATAAAATACAGCCTATGCTACGGCCTCCTCCTCAAACATCTCAAGTCCTCAGAGATACACTGGCTGCACCCAGATCTGACTGTGTCGGAGCTCACCCATCGCTACGAACAGCAGCATCTGGAGGCTGAGTGGAGGTCAGTGCTCCAGTCTTTGCCTGCTTATGCTACATGCACAGCACATGTATTTTAAATGTATCATAGTTTTAAAGAAACCCGAAATCTTTTGTACATTGAAAGGGCAGGAAATCAGCAAAATGATTAGGATTCATCCTCTGTGGATCATGAATTTCCAGAGCAAACTGAAAGAAAATCAAAAATTTGTTTGATACTTAAAGATCACCTCCAGACATTTATCCAGACATGTACTATATAAAATAATCAGCTCGGAAAGCAGATGTCTGTCTCATTTTTCAGCAAAAAGGTATAATTTCTACTTCAAAATCCTTGAAAAGGCATCTACTTTATCTACCTCATTAAACATTCCAGAATATATTTATAGTACATTGTTTTTGCAGTAGGTCTGCATTAAATCTGCATAATGCTTTTTAATACATTTTTACAGTGTGGACATATACAATCCTATTAGAATTAGCACAGCATTTAGAATGGAATTGGGGAACAACTCTTGCAATGGACAAAATGTTAATCAAGTTGTGTCACATCCTCTAAAGAAAAAGTCATGACTTGGTGTGATGTTTGTTTGTCCAGATATGATCTGAGGATCAGATACATCCCAACAGACTTCATGGAGAAATTCAAAGATGACAGAACCACCATGCTCTACTTTTACCAACAGGTTGGTGATATGTGATATGTGTTTTTTTTCTTGTTTCTTCACTAAGGATTTTTATAGGATTAAGACTTCAGGCTAGAGTCAGTGTTTATAATTGTTTAGTTTGTTTTAGTCAATGTGTGTGTGCCTATCCACAGGTACGCAGTGACTACATGCAGCAGTATGCCTCAAAAGTTAGTGACGGGATGGCTCTGCAGCTCGGTTGTCTGGAAATAAGGTAACATACCACCATACAAACTACCGCCTTAAGCAAGAAGAAGTCACTGCTCCAGTACTTAGAATATATGACATGAATTGGAAAAATCTAACGCTGCCAGTATTATAAATTCACAAAACCTGATTGTGTTTATTTGTCGTGTTTGCAGGAGATTCTACAAAGACATGAATCCAAACGGACTGGAGAAAAAGTCCAACTTTGAACTATTAGAGTAAGTCAGATGACATCAATGACAAGAAACAAGCGACACGCAATGCTACACACTACAAGCTATCTAACCACCATGCACACCAAAAAGAGCAATCTGACTGATGAATGAAGAGGAAGGGTGAAATGGCCAGTCTGTGGTTAGAATAAAAACCTAAACACTGTCAGATATTTAGAGACCTCTGCCATTCAGCTGCTGATCATGAGAGAGAATCACACCATGAGGCAGCTGGTGGAAGCTGAGAAGGTTCCCGAAAGCCCAGAAGTTTAGAAAATAACTTTAACTCTATGTCATTTCCTCTTAGTCTCTCTTATAGCCCGTTATCCACTAACAGGGCACCCGCTACATTCTGGTTCAAACACCTAGTTCTGAAGCATTTTGAGAGCATTTCGACCAAAAATAAATAAAATAGTTAAAAAATAGTTAAAAAAATTTGTTCCCAGCTGGAACCAACAAATAGCAGGTTTTCCTCGGGAGTGGGTGTGTCATATTCTACAGGTCGTTGTGCATTGTGCAGCATCCTCTTTTGATAATGCATCCAGTTCCTATGGTTCCACTCAAACCTGGTGGAAACGTGGGCTGATTTCATAGATAGCACCAAGGTTCCAAGAATCTTGATCAGTATGACTGGACTGGCAAATCAATTGAGCAAAAGTTCTGTTACTGGGGAAATATCACCATCTATGGGTCTGCCCTAACATTTTCATGAGGGGTTGTGTGTGTGATGTGTCACGTTCATGAGAAGTAAATATGTGTGCTTCTTTTTAGGTCATAGGAGTGAAAATTAGTCATCCACAACATTTTTTGTGTCATGATTTCAGAATGATGAAGGCTCTAGAGGATGATTTTTTTCCTCTGCAACTATCATTTTTTCAAAATTATGTACAGATTAGGCATTCTATTATTTCATCTGGTTGGAAACAGTGCATATAGCTGCTGTAAATGGGGAAAAAACTCAGCCCTCCCTAGGTTTAGGCTAAGCCCCAAATGCTTATAGCGTCTGGCTCCACCCCTCATGATTGTGGTCTGACTTTCCTCCATTAGGAAGGATGTGGGGCTGGACCTGTTCTTTCCCAGGGAGCTGATCAACAGCATGAAGGTAGAGAGCCAAAACAACTACAATACACTCATTTAGTACCATGTTGAAGTTACATAATGCAATGAAATTATGACATTTTCAATGACTGCTCTTTGTCTGCGTGCAACGTGTCAGCCTAAACAGTTACGCCGGCTGATCCAGCAGACGTTCCAGGGCTACTCCACTCTGAAGCAGGACCAGTGCATGGAGAGGTTCTTCACCACTTTGGCTCAGTGCCACAGCTACACACAGGAGAGGTTCGCCTGCCAGCTTGTGGTGAGAGAGTGATGTGTGCAGTGAAAAATAAGTTTTTAAGCTAAAGCTGTTTTTTAATGTGTGTGTCTATGTCCTGTCTCTATAGCATGGTTGGAACCTAACAATAGACCTGGTCATTGGTCCAGAAGGCATCAGTCAACAAACTGACAACTCTACAGTAAGCTCACTCTTATTAGCTATTTGTGATATTAGTCATATAACATGAAAGATGATTTATTAGTATAAATTGAGATATACATAGCTATCAAGTGTCCCCTTTTTAAATAATTTATTCATTATTTTTTCACCATTGTCTCTTCTGCAGCCCGTCTGTTTGGCCACATTCTTTCAGGTGTCCAGCATCTCCTGCTCTGCTGAGAGTGACGGTCGAGCTCTGCTCACAGTGCACATAGAGGGAGCCAAACAGGTAATGCAAAGCTCCCTAAAAGGATAGTCCAACATTTTGATGCCTGTTTCTTGCTGAGAGTTGGATGAGAAGGTTGATACCACTTTCGTGTGGGATGATATGAAGCTCCAGCCAGCAGCCGATTAGTGTAGCATTTGTTCAAAAAGCATTCTGTACAAAAGCCAAATTCTATAAATAGTTGTGGTTTAATGGGAGGTAACAACCCAGACTGAATAACTTGTATCTTCTACTCTCTCTCTCTCTCTCTCTCTCTCTCCCCCCAGCCACTGTCAGTGAACACCACCTCTCTGGCTGTGGCTGAAAACATGGCTGACCTGATAGACGGCTACTGTCGGCTAGAAGGCAGCTCTGAGAGCTCACGCATTATCCGGCACAACAGAGGTACACTTCCCCTATGTACCAGTCTAAATCTAAAGTTGTTAAACTATCCAGTCATTTTTACATTGGCTACACAGACCTGTGGCATTTCTATTGTTTACAACCCTGGATTTACCTTTGAACTTCTGGCTCTCATTTTCCATGAATTATGATGACATAGCTTGCCAAAATCACAAGATTTCAGGAGTATTCACTTTTTTTCACTTCAAATAAGTAGTTTAAATATAAGTGAATGAGAATAAAAATGGACGTATTGGATCTGTATAAAGCTGTGGAGTGATGTGCCTGCATCCACATATCACAGCAATGAAAATGTTAATATAACCAAGGTACCAAAGTACGACCAGATGTAAAACCCTGCAATGTCCCCTAATTTGATAAAGCTCTGTAATAAATTATGTTGACAACTACAGCTGAATCAAATATCTGATTCTTTCAGGAAGAGACACAAGACTGAAACTGCCTGACATCCCAAAACGGTGAGTGTAATGAATCACACTGGAAAGTAATGCAACATAAAACTTGTTAAAGTGACACTTTTCCCACCTTGGTGGTAAATTAGCTGAACCATATACTGTGTGGGTGTAGTTTTCTGTTTAGTTTTTTTTTCACACCTTCCTTTATCTCGTGTTCATGGTTTATGTGTCTGTTTGCATTGCTGCTCAAACAGGCTCATTTTTTGTTAAAATCTCATCAACTGATCGCTTTAAAGAAGAAATGTAAAACAAAAATGTCTGTCTCTCTCTTCCAGTGGTGGTCCCAGTGGTCCTGATAGAGGTTTGAGTGAGTCTAATGATACATATATCACACGTGAACATCTATTTGGTTTCATTTCCTCCTAAACTAACACTAATAAACAATGATATATTGGAGGCTTCTTCTGTTTGGTTATACGTATAAATTCATTATGTTTCCTTAACTTCAGGTTCGGATATTTATGCAGAGATTCCAGAGGGCACAGATAACTCTGGTGAGTAAAATTTCACTGACTGCTTTCCCTGATATCCCTCCAGCAATATATTGCTTCCAATGCCCCAAAACTAGGCGATCAGTGAAGAAATGTCAGTTCATGTTATTTTGAGACAGAGGTTACGGTTCAATATATTGCAATACTGTAAATAAGGTGATATGTTGTGATTTTTTTCAAATCTAATTTAGGAAAACTGTCATAGTATAATGAACACACCATCAGATACATAAACTCTGAGTTAAAAGTTTTTTGTTTTTTTTGAGAATCGATACAACGTCACAGTTAAAAATATCACAATACGATATTCTTTCGACATTTTCTTACACTCCTAACAAACATGTCAATCTTTAAGTGAACCATCTCCTTCAGGTTGCTCTCTTCCTCCTTGAGAAAGAAACGTGTTGAACAATCCTTACAACACACAAAAAACTTTCCAAACTGCAATTAACAATACCCTGGATTGAACCACAAGAGAAATATAGAAATGGTGCTATCACAAAGTAAAGATGTTGAAATGTTGACTTTTCCCTTGGTGCACTGCAACAGCTGGCTTTTATGTTTTACTGTAAACCTACTGTTAGTTCTGCCACTCAGGTTTCGCTTTCAACCAAACCACCTAACAAGAACCTATAGACCGTTCACAAACCGTTCACAAACCATCTGTTCTGTAATATTTGTATGTTCAGAGAGACACAGAATCTGCAGAGAGGACATTGTTGTGGGTCGGATCCTGGGTGAGGGATTCTTCGGAGAGGTTCACGATGGAATTTATAAAAGCCCGGTGAGTTCGTCTAATGTCCAAGTGTCATCACAGTTCACTCACACAAACCTCCTACTGAGGATCAAAAGATAATCTGTTGGTCACCTTTTAGCTGTAATGTGGAAAAATCATACCACCAAACTGCACCGGTGCTTCATGCCAAAAGTGTGTCCTAACCCGAAGAGCTAAAACATACACTGTCACGGTGGAAGTAATGTATGCATGTGTGTGTTTGTAGACAGGAGAGAGGATTTCTGTGGCCATCAAAACATGCAAGGACTGTTCAGCTGATGTAAAGGAGAAGTTCCTAAGTGAAGCCGGTGAGTATGTAGCTGTTGCAGTGATTCTTTCCTACCAAATCACTTGTGCTTGCACATCTGCAGTCACAGATTCAGCTCACGGGGTTTGTGTGGAGAGCTGTGACGCAACTGCAAAGCCTGACACGCGTTCATGGCAGGAAATGTAACTCTTTCCATAATTAGTTAGACGTAAAATCATTTTTGGCAGCAGAATTTTCCTCACCTGAAAATGTGACTGATGGTTGTTTTAATCCCAGTAAGCTTAAAATAGAAAGGAACAATGTATAAGTATGTAATGACAGATAAGTGGAGGATCTGAATTTGGAACATTTCTGCATGTTTCATCAGTCAGAACATTGCTGTTGTTGACTTCCTGTTGCCTGGTTGTGGCTTCATGTAAAAGCTCAGAGTGGAGGCTGTGGTAGCCTCAGGGTGAGACAAGAGACCTCATTTGATTTTTTTTCTCCTAGCTGACATAGTGCAGCTTTAGAAAGAAAACGAGTAAATCAAGCTAAATTTACTGATGATGTTGTACAGACACAGTTGCTAATCCTTAGGATGTTGTTTAGAGTGACCCGCCATAATATGCTAAATAAAATCCAAATATTAAGTCTGTAAAATGAAGAGTCGAGCCCTGATAGAAGCTGCAATGTTCATCCTACCCAAAAATAGCAAAGAGTGGGACTTAACAATCTACACTGTGATGATTTTGCTGTTCCTATAGCTTTTTCGCTGAGGTCGGCACTTTAGGAAAGGTCACGGTGTACCCTTTTTTTTAATGAATGTGCTCACAAGTTTTGTGGCAATCTGTCCATTGTGTGTTTTGAAATTTCTTGTGTAAAAGTGGAAATTTTTGATCTGATGGTGGTACTGAAGAAATGGTTGTAAGTTGTACCTTCACAGTTCTTCATAAATCTACTTTAAAGAGAGACTTCAGTGCATTTTTACGGGATTTTGAAGTATCGCATTAATAAACTTTGATGGAAATGGCAAATATTGAAGAAACTTTTTATGCTTGGGTGGTTTGCTTTTTAAAAGAAGAGTTAATGCTCTTAATTCACAGTTTGTGCTTTGATTGGCTCTCTATAAAATATGTTCTCTTTTTTTGGTTTTCCGACGGGCCAAAGTGTCTTTGAATGAAGAAGATTATGATTCATCAGCTGCACAAGAGCTGACACATAAAACAGTGGTTAGATTCTGTTTTTTACAATGGTTTTCCTGTCAATTAAAAGTGAAAGCTTGCGGTATTATACATACATAGTAACTGCTATTTCTCGGATGATTCTGGCCAAGGACCTTTGTCTTATTTCATGCCCCTCTCTGCCTCCCACCTGTGTTTCCTATCTGTGTTTTCCGTTCTCTATTAATCAAGGTTAAAATACAGGGTAAGGGGCGTCTGGATAGCTCATCTGGTAGAACTGGCGCCACTTACCAGGGCTGAGTCCTTGCTGCAGTGGCCCAGGGTTCGATCCCCCCCCTTTATGATATGAATAATTTATATAATGCGCTCTGTCTGTCGCAGGCTTGATGAAAGATTTGGATCACCCCCACATTGTGCGTCTGATCGGAGTCATTGAGGTTGATCCTGTCTGGATCGTCATGGAGCTCTATGAACATGGAGAGGTGTGTGGATGTTAATACAGATATTGTAAAAGACGAAAAGTTTCCTACTCAATATCTGTATCACGATCTGTCGTACCCTTTCGGAAATTCAAGATGGAGCTTTCCAATGAAGGAAACTGATCCAAAATGAGTAAATACTAAGTAAACAAATAAATACTGTACGAAGTAAATATAGCGAGTTAAGTCTCACAATATATATAATGTGAGATGAATGTGAATGCAAACTGCACTGTATCTTGTAAAAAGCAGATGTTTCTGTTCCCCTGACAGCTGGGGAACTATCTGGTGCAGCAGCAGTACACCCTGACCATTGCAACGTTAATCCTGTACTGTCTACAAATCTGCAAGGCCTTGGCTTACCTGGAGGGACTCAATATGGTGCACAGGTAACAGAGCAGCCTCATGTATTTGTGAGCCCTTTTGCCAAAAACGGGCCTTCCGCTGTCTTTAGTGTGGAGTATTACCTTTTTTGAATTTCTTGCTTTTACTGTGAAAATTTGGTTTAAACAAGCCTTGGATGGCCTTGTTAGTCTACAGAAACCAGGAAGTATCTAGCTTCTGCGAATATCTACTGAAATACTAAATGTTTGATCTAATTAAATACAAATCTTTTATTTTGGTGCATACACTGTTTTTACTCTGGTTCCCGTCTGTCTGTGTGCCATAGAGATATCGCGGTGAGAAATGTTCTGGTGGCTTCTCCCAAATGTGTCAAGCTCGGTGACTTTGGCCTCTCTCGCTACGTCGACGAACATGAATATTATAAAGGTACACACACACACACACACACACACACACACACACACACAATGTCTGTCGCAGTCTGCTCAGTGAATTGTTCTTGCCTGTTTTTTAAAAAGGCTGAAGTTAATTTTGGTGACATTTGCATGCCTTCACAATGGTTCAATCTTTGTAAATGTGAATGTCCAATCTGTATTCTTGTCCATTTCACATACACTTTAATGTTTCTCCTCTGTGTGCAGCCTCGGTTAGTCGATTACCGATCAAATGGATGGCACCTGAGTCCATCAACTTCAGACGCTTCACCACAGCGAGTGATGTGTGGATGTTTGGTGAGAAACACACTCGTCTGCACACACATGTACAGACTAGTGTGTGTTTTTGAGTGTACGAATATAAATGTAACCTTATATTTTGTTCCTTATGAAGTTATAGTATAGATTATATACTATAGATAATAATAATAATAATAGTTGAAATCTGCCACATTATCCTTGTTAACTGCATTATTTGTCCTGCTAGATTAGAAACTTGACAGGCGTGGGCTAACTCTCTGATTTAGCAAAGGGTAAATTATTCTGGAGGCACACTTGAGACAAAACATCAGAGATTTGTCTCACCAGGACAAAAGCCAATCCAGCTGTGTGTGTTCAACCAGGTGTGTGTGTGTGGGAGACCTTCTCCATGGCCCAGCAGCCGTTCTTCTGGCTGGAGAATGGGCAGGTGATCAACCAGCTGGAGTCGGGAGTTCGGCTCCCCAAACCGCAGCTCTGCCCGCCGGCCATCTACTCCCTGCTCACCCGCTGCTGGGCCTACGAGCCAAACGTCCGGCCCAGCTTCAGCCAGCTCGTCTGCTCCCTGAGGTACACTCACTACTGCACACGCGTATTTCTTTCTTCTATCTGTTTTCAAGGTTCAAAAGTTTAAAGACACTCTGCCAAAGATTCACCTAAATGTGTTTATATTGGTTGGGCGTAAGTTAATACAGTTCACCTTTAAGAACACATCAATATATCATTTTAATGTTACTTTTTGCCTACATTTGGGACTGGGACATCTTTACACACACTAAGTGACGTGTGTGATGTTTGTGTGTTTGACAGCGAGATCCACAGGACTGAGTTAGAGCAGGAGACAGGGCGAGACAGGTCACATCGCAGCTCTATTGTATCATTATGTGACCCTAACCACACAGAGCCTCCACCCAAGGTACTACACACACACATGAAAGAATAATGCATACATATTTGACAGCCCTTTAATAAATGACACAACCTCTCTTTCTCTCTCTCACCAGCCATCCAGAACAGGCAACACCCTTCCTCGGGTCAGGAACACACAGGTGTCTCACACACACACACACACACACACACACACACACACACACACACACACACACACACACACACACAGCTGACCAGCTATTTCAATCCCCTGCAGTGACTTAATGTTCTCTTACAAAGAGAAAACATACTGAATAAAATCTGCAAATGTTCTGAAGCCAAATATAATACTGAAAATCATACAGTGACAATGCACAGCGCAATCGCTTTGTGTCAATATTTTGTACATGCAATGACTGAACCTCTCAAATTACATCCATAGAAAGAAGGAAGTTTGTTCTGCAATGACAGCTGCTTATCAAATCTGTAGGCCAGAGTGCAAAAACTGGATGACTAAGCAACAACGTGGAAGTAAACTGTATTCTCAGGTTCAAATTTCCATATGCAAAATAATTTCCTAGACATTAAGTTAAAGCTGCACAAATCAATCGAACACAAAGATGCATACAAACCACCATGTTTTACGGTTTTAACTGTGCCAGTGTGAAAATAGCAGTGTGTGTGTGTGTGTGTGTGTGTGTGTGTGTAGGGAGCAGACAGGGATAGCAAGCCGATGTGGGACACAGAGAGAGCGCACGTGGCGGACACTTTACAAAGACAAAAAAGGGAGATGCTGATGGATAAAGAGTGGCTGGAGCAGGAGGAGAGACAACTGGTGAGAGAGACCCCCCCCCGTCATTCACTCACACACTCCTGTCAGTGATCATAGTAGAGTGTGCCTTGGGCTGCTTAGCAAAGAAGTTGTGGCCACGATGGTGTGACGAAATGAGGGAAGAGACAAAGTGACGTGTCCAGCAGAAGATTTTTGGCAAGCGCATGACATGACTAAAAGTTATGAAATCTGAGGGTTTACAGGTCGGAAATAGCCTTCAGTAACGTGATAGTATCTTACTAAATTTACCACAACAAACAAAACCCCTGATCATTGCTGCTGTCACTGAAGTCTGCTTCTGTGTTCCTGTAGGATCCAGTTGTGCGACAGGATTCACACAGTAAGGTATGTTTTTGCTTTTATTTCCTCTACCTCTGCTAATTTGTGCTGCAGGGATCTACAAGTTGGAAAGTTTGACTTAGAATAGTTAGTATTTTTTAAGACACATCATAAGTTTGTGTTGAGAGGGAACCGGAGGTGCTAAAATGCCAACTTAGTTCCAGCTTTTAGGACTTATCCTGCAGCACTGTTAAAGCTGCATTAGGCACATTTTGACCACCAGGGGGCAGAGACATACTTCCTAATGTACTGTAGTTCATACACAAGCGTTTTAAATCACCAAACAATTACTTGAAACTTCAAAGTGAAAGAGAAGTTTACAGTACTAATCTGACTTCTTACTTTATATGAGGTTTGAAAATGAAACCTTTTAAAGTGATAAACTCACATCCTCTTTTTCTTGCACTTCTCTTTCTAAGTTGCTGCTACCTCCTGAAAAAAAGCCAGAAAATGGTGAGTCTAGATTAAGAGATTAATTCATCTGGAAACTTTATTAAACACTCATAATGTTTGTGGAGTCTTGTAGCAGTACAACAGAAAAGAACCAAAAATATGAATGTCATATGTATGTACAGGAAATGTGTGGGTGGAGATATGAAACTTTTTCTGTCTCTGTCAGGTCCTCCAGAGAAGCCCCCAATGCCCCCCACAGTCACACAGGTAAAACAAAACTTTGGTAGAATATATATTTAGACATGTTTCTTTAATTAAGAAAAGAACGATCAAGCAGTAAAGACGACCACAATAGTTGCATGGCTGACAATTGTAGGTTTGAAAAGTGGAGCTATGTATTAAATTTGGTCATTAAAGAGTACATTTTGTGTCGTTGTAGCCTCGGCCCACAGCTGAGCTGGACCGATCAGGTGATCAGGTTTACACCGGCGTCATGGCGATGGTAAAGCAGGTGGTCCAGTTGAAGAATGATGTCAACACACTGCCCGCCTCAGAGTATCCCAACGCTGTCAAAGTAGGTGCAAGTGTGTGCTTCAGTGTGCGTACACTACTCAGATTAATGTTTTTGTTGTTTTGTTTTTGTGAATATCCTATTTAACAAGACTGTTCTCGATAACACTTGAAAATTGACAAAGATGGTGAAGGTTTGTGGCATGAATCAGCTGCAACCTGCTCATGAAATTTAGGTCAAAAAGTCGTACAGCTCCTGTCAAACAAATATTGCAAGTGACATTTTGAGTTCTGACATTTCCAGTTGTTTTCTACGAGAGCCATTTGGTGTGCAGATGTTTCTGTTTCATAGACTGTTTTTTGATTCAGCACCCATCTACGTTGGTCTTTTTCATCACGTTTATGGTCAACATGAAGAAATATCCCATAGACTAAGAGCCTTTAATGCCATCTTTCAGATATATTAGTGAACAGGGGAGGGCACTGTTGTGTCACAGCAGACAGACCTAAAGCCTGAGTTTCTGTCAGGTGAGATGGAGGGAGTTTTTTTGTTTTAATGCCGCTATTTTTCCTTCTTCTACTCCCTCTTCCACCTCCCGTCCTCCTTCTTCCCTCCCCCCATCACACCCACCACCTGTTTTTGCCTCCCTCCCTCCCTCAGGCCGTGGGTATCACTCTCCGTAGCCTGATTCAGAGGGTCGATGAGATCCTGCCCTCTCTGCACAGCTCTGTCACAACAGAGGTAGGCCTCACTTCGTCCCTCTTTGCATCGACCACTGTCCTCATTGTTTTGAGAAGGTGTATGTGCATGCAGTCGTTAGACCAGATGTAGCTTGATTGTTTGATTTGAGATGGCATCTGCTGTGCATTAAAATAGGACAAGGATACAGTATCCAAGGACGGTTAAATGTTTCATATATGTTCATACATGTTTCACATGTACTCTTCTTTGTGAAGATATTTCTTTTTTTCCATTTACTTACTTAGAGAGATAGTCACTTGTACTTTCTTTTCTAGCAGTCGTAGCTCACTGTAGATTATAGCAATTAGTGTCTTATTGCAGCCGGAAACTTTTGGGTACTAAAATAATCGAACATCTGATCAGTTCTGAACTATTGCTGCAGTATACCATATTCTGAGTTCCTGTTAGGGTTTCTAAATATAACTTTCAGAAAAGCATTGTTAATAGTGACACCAATGGCCGTTGTGAACTGCAGTCAGCATCCTGTTGCTCATGCTCACGCTCTGTACAAAGTGTGTTGGCCAAGCCACACTGAGTAATGTTATTCGGCGTCTCAACCAGCACTTAAAACCAAAAGCTAGGAGTCTTATATGATATAAATGCATTCACATTTCTATGCAGTTCATATAGTTAGAGAACAATAGAAATTGCACTATTTAGGTTTACGTAACCTATTAACAAAAGCACACTTAGCCATACAAGAATGAATCCAATCTTTGAAAACTGTATCATGTGATCGTCTCTCCTCCACCGTCTCAGATCGAGGGCACCAAGAAGCTGCTGAACAAAGATTTAGCAGAGCTGATCAATAAGATGCGACTGGCCCAGCAGAACTCCATAACGTCACTGAGGGAGGAATGTCAGCGGCAGATGTTGGCAGCCGCTCACACTCTGGCACTGGATTCCAAAAACCTGTTGGATGCTGTGGACCAGGCCCGAGTCCGGGCCAACCTAGCCAAGCCCAAACCTGCCTCACAAGATGAAGAGGACGGCATGGAATGAGGATAGAGCATGCATGTGCCCTGTTGATCAAATGGACTGTCTGTTATCAGATTTTGACAAAAGCTTTGCTCCCCTGAGAATGTGCAACACTTTCTGCTGTTGAAAGATGTTATAATATATATGAATTTTCTCCTGAACTGAGCATTTATTGAAGCTGAACAAATCAAACAACCACAATGTATAATAGTGATAAGGTTTGTACTGTTTTTTTATTCTTTTTATTATTAAAGTCAGTGACATTCTGCACTTTCTATGTTATAGTTTTTTCCTTTTGTGTCATGAGTGAACATCAACATTAATGCAATCAGTGGTCTGCACTGTACAGACACTTAATGCAATTTTATATCAGAGTTACAAGAATTGCTTTAAACAGCTTATTCAGGCTGCAAACAGCACAGGCAGGAAGGGCGTATAAAGGATAGTAGTATAAAGAATAACTCTGTCTAAACACACAGAGCCCCACTGTGCTTGCAATATCAGTCACTCTGAGAGATCTGAGGTCACGTACAGTAAGTTTGATTGCTAACAGTAATTAGTTACACTACTCATATTACTTTTCTGCTACTCCCCACAGGATTGGTAATTGTGATAATTTCCAGACACTAAATGGAAGCGTTTCCATCTTCTAACATCTTCCAGGATGTGATTGGATTGTTGGATTTCAAATCAGTAGGGGGTTACAACAAAACTACGTTTTTTTGGGGGGAGATAACTGTAATATTATCACTGACATTTAATTAGTAATTAGTTAAACTAAAGTAATATTATTACTGTAATATCCCAGCAAAGATGTGTATGTTGGTATTAGATGGGCAGAAATATGGGCCCTATATGACATTGTCTGCTGATTCCATAATGGCCCCATGTCAGTATCCCACATGGCCCACATGCAGAATTACACTGGGTGTTAGGTGGGACCCAGGTGGGCCCCATTTGTGTTGCCCACCCCGAGCCCAGCCCTCTTTTCCCATTAGTTATCCAACTAGGACCCATATAGGGAGCCCACATGGGTTCAGCCTACTTAGTTCACCCAAGTGGGCCCCAGACAAGCTGCCCATTTAGGGCCCATACCCACTTGGTACCCATGTAGCCAGAGCATATGGTAACCCAACAATGGCTACGATAAGAAGTTTTATGTTTGCAGTAGAATCCACTTTGTCTCTGTCTGTTGATATAGTGTTGCAGTCTGTAAAATATGGACTAAATTGAGGAGGAGGACATTTTGGATTACACTCCAGGAGGGTTTGTATGAAGTTCTTTTTTTCAGCTGTAATATCTTTTCACACTGGAATCAAGTGTTGCCTTACCTCCGTCGACAATAAACCTTTCACAGCTTTCACCATATTGGGTGAGTGTCACTGTAATGTACAGACTGGATCTTCAAGTTCTGTCTTGTCTTTTGAGAGCATATCATTATTTGTTACCTAATGAAGGCTATCTATAGAAGCAGAAGCAGGTTTGAGCAGGACAGAATGTAGATTCTGCTTCTGTTGTTGCCAAATAATCTAATCCCGCACACATACTCTGGCCTTTCTGAACACAAGCAGTTAAAGACAAGCACATTCAAATATATTTCTGCATGACATTGAAAACGTTAGAGTCTGCATGTTCACCGGTCGGTCAGAGTAAGTCAGAACTTACAAACATTACTGTACGGATTTTTCCATTATTTAACCCTCCGAAAAGGCTTACCAGGAAGCACACAATGTTATGACTCGTGTTTGTCTAATTTTATTTAGGTCATAAACCTGAAATACAACAAACAAATAATGACAATATATTATTCAAATATACCATGTAAATATATTATTCAAATAATATAATATAATAATAATAATGTAAATAATGAAATCAAAGAAGCCTGCAACACCATCAAAATGTGGCAAATCTGGCTCAAAACAACATTGACTACATCACCCAGAATGCCTAGCGCCAGAGCAGCATGCACACAGCGACTCTCCGCCGTCACTGGTTGCTATGGACGCTGTCACAGAACACAGAACCCATGCCACCACGTGCCTCGTCCAAAGGATTCACATACAGGTGCGCATGCGCACATCACATAACATATCTGAGCATTGAAGAAACTTAAAGAAATCACTCGTTCCCATTTTAATTGAACACATCAGACCCATTTGCTTCTGTTTTTTTGTTGTTTTTTTTCCCCTGAGTGAGCTAAAAGTCTCAACAATTACATTTACATATCTTAAATCCAGGTTTTTCTGTTCGGTCACAATTTAAGGATATGAGTGAAGATGTTTTTTCTTTTCTAAAAGGGAGTACTGTGGACACCAAAAGTCTGCATGTGACCAAGGTTTGCAGATTTATTATTCCCTTAACCTGAATGCAGGTTCCTGATCAAGTAATCCCTTGTTTTCAACACTTTCCTGTTGCAGTTGAGTCTAGATGCAGCATTTTGTAATTATTGAGTGCTTTTAGACTTGATGCAAGAGTTCAATATGAAGTACTACCAAAACAGGAAAAAGGACTGAATCGTATGTGTCTTGACAGAGTTTCCTATCTTGTAATTTACAACCACATTTCTTTGTAAGTGCAGAGTTCCCGCATATCTGGCTTCAGCTGGAAAATCCAGCTGTGTTACATGATCCTTTAAAACAACCCTTCATTCTGGAAATGCAAGTTTTCTGCAGAGTAATGGATTTAACTCTAATCATCAATGGCAGAACAAACATTTTGCGTCACTGTGACACTGTTTTCTTTTAAGGCCGTCTTAGATTTGAACCCTCCACATTGAGATTATTATTGAAGAAAGTGACTTTCCATAACAAACATGGTTCTTCTAAAAACAACCCTTTCTGTTTTCTGTTGCCAGGTAATGCCATAAACATATTCAACAATATGGGAAACAAATGATCAATTCAATTAAAATAAAATTTTGATGGTTCCTTTATGCTCAAAAACTCACAAACCAAATCAAAGCATTATGAAAGGCTTTCAGATGTTTCTACACCCGCAGGAACGCCCCTCACCATTCTTTTGTAACACCTCCGTGTTTAAAAGGCGGCTGTTCAGGTCAGGGCAGTCAGCAGCCGTCTCTCCACTCTGACAGCAGAAAGCAGCAAACATCAGGATCCACTCTCCAGGTGAGGACTGCCACCCTTACCTCAAAGATAATTATTGTAGTTTTGTGTTTTCATTAGTTTTTGTTCTTGATCTTGTTATTAATTTTCAATTCCCTTTAGTTTCAGAGTGACTTTGCTTGTTTCAGTTTAGATTTATTGTTTAAAATGTTCAGTTTAGTTTAGGTTTTATTAGTTTCAGTGTTAGATTAGTTAGTTCAGTGTTTTTTACGATAATATGGAGGTATTTGTAAGGGGAAAGATATTACAATACAAACACATTGACTCATAGTCATTTAGTCTCATAAACATCTGTTATATAAACACATGCACCAACATCTCCTCGTGGTTGTTTGTAGTACACAATATGTTTTTTTTCTAAAGTCTAGTTTTTGTTTTTATTTCAGTTGTGAAATAAAAAATGTTTTTCTCAACTTTTTTTTATAACTTTAATAACACTGATTGCTTTTTCAAATGTTGAAATGTTGTTGTAATTGCTTAAAAGATCTAAACTGATGGGTAAGAAACCTGAGAACCAGTTTCCAACCGCATAATACAAGAAATCTCACAATTACCTTCACAATGAATAATTAATTAATAATAAATAATAATACATTAAAATATAATAATAAACAAATGCCTCTTTAAGAAGGAAATGTGTTTTACGAGGGTTTCAGTGAACAAAATAAACCAAATGGCATTAAGATCTGCCCTGATGCAGATAAGCTACAGAGGGGTTACCCACACTAACAGGTAATGTGAATAACCCTCCAGTCAACTCAGAGGAACTTTGACATTAAGCTTCAGTGAATCTGGGAAATGGGGAATTGAAGTGACAGCAAGTAGGAGAGATAAAGGACTGCTGCAGGGTTTGCATGAATTCTTTTGAGCGATTAAATAAACGCTACAAACTCCTCAACCCCGCCACACCCAATCGATCATATTACATACTCATGTTGCACGCACAAGCGTTGTTCAAACCCACAGTACAGTACTTTAATTTCTGTTCTACGCTTGGGATGCCAAACTTCTTCTTGCTGACTGAGGGAAAAACACACGGCTTGACTTTTTGATGTTGCAGGCAAAATGGCACCTAGAGAATATTTTACTTCCTGTAAGGATCATGTTGTTCAATTACAATGTTGGAACCAGCAGACAGAACTTTGTGTACATAATATTAGATCTGTGAACTACTAATCTGCCTATTTATAATTGTAGACCATGACTACAAGATATAATCAATAAAACAGCTTATAAACCCTGTAAAGTATGTGTTATTAAGTTTGAACATTTTCTTGTTATTGAATGTAGGATGAAGAAGAAATTGATCCTCGACGTGGACACAGGGGTTGATGATGCTCAGTCCATCATGGTGGCCTTGGCGGACCCTGATGTGGAGGTTTTGGGGATCACATGCTGCCATGGCAACACAACCCTGGAGAATGTCCTCAAGAACACACTGCGTGTCCTGAAAGTCTGCAACAGGCTGGATGTACGTTGTAAGATGGGTGTGACAACAGAAAATGATGCATGTCAATACAAGTTTGGTTAGGCTATGGTAAAAAGCTAGTACTGGGTCACACACTGAAGCAGTTCAGTATGTGTATGCTGGATTCATATTTTAGTATTTTACTGATTTAACTTCGGCTTTGCAGATATAACCCATACATGACGCTATATAAAGCTTTATCATGCTTAACAGATCCCAGTGTACCGTGGTTGTTCAGTGCCACTACTGGCCCGTAAACAACATGCAGGAGATTACCACGGGAAGGACGGGCTGGGCGATGTCCCGGATCCAGACGCTCCAGGCCTAGAGCTGCTGCAGAAGAAGAAAGCTGTGCAGGCCTTGATCAAGATTGTGAAAGAGAACCCTGGAGAGGTGAGACAAACACAAAGAGTTCATCTTGCTTGGTTGCTTGGTTTACTCATCTAAAATTATCATGATGTGATTGTGAGATACTAAGTCATTATTTTGATATACAAAGTCATTATTTCGAGAGAAAAAAAAGGGGCCATTCTTTTCGATACTAAGTCATTACTTTGGAAAGGTTTCTGCCATTGGTTTCATGTGGAGATATTTGACTGGATACCTGAAAATCTGTATGAACATAATTTTTAGATCACAGGGTACTCTAAGTCTTTGAATACCGTTATCACGTTTTTCAATCATCATCCTCTGCTGATCTCACGATAAAGCCATTAAAAGATCATCAAAATGTGTGTTGCTCTGATGTTGCTGTCTACAGGTGACTCTCGTGGCCACGGCTCCCCTCACTAACCTGGCTGTTGCAGTGCAACTGGACCCTTCCATCTCTAAGAAACTGAAGGCGCTCTACATCATGGGTGGAAACATTGAGTGTATGTTATCTGTTGTTAATTTTGAAATATTTATTCAAATTGTGTCATTTCCATCGCTGCACTTGTATTACTGAGAATGATGACTGTGTGTGCAGCCAGGGGTAACACCACAGTGTGTGGAGAGTTTAACTTTGTGGCTGACCCTGAGGCTGCCTACGTTGTGCTGGACCGCTACACCTGTCCCACCTATATCGCCACCTGGGAGTTCACCTGCAGGAACAGCCTGCCATGGGTGAGCCTGAACACATTACCCTTCATGTACCCTTCAATGCTTTAAATAAGCTTACAGACAATTATTTTAACATGAACACTCTCTCTTTTCCTTCTTCAGGCTTTCTGTGACCAGTTGCTGGACCAAAAAACTGAGAAGGCCGCCTTCATGAAAGATATTTCAGCCCTTTCGAGGAAGGTAAGAGTGTGCAGATAATGATGATATGAGGAAAAAAAGAGTTTATTGTGTTGAAACTGACAAAACAGATGCATTTCATACCACATCCTTAACTGTGAGGTTATACATTGCAGGAATGCAACACTGAGCATGTTTGCTCGAGCAGATATCCCCACAGTGTCTTCAGAAGGGTTATTAGGCACTCAGTGTTCTTACAGCGTCTCTTTATTGCATTTTCCTTATGATTATACAGCATTTCACATGTTTGAAAAGTAAAAATACATTTTTAAAAAGTACATAACACACAACAGACTTTGTTAGAGAACCCCCAAATCCTACACCCAAAATGTGCAATTTGTTAAATTTTTGCATTAAACCCACCAAACTTTTACTTGTTTTTATTCTGATATGATTGACATGATTAAGTGCTATGAGAGTAATTACAAGGTGTACACATTGTTCTCTATGCCAATAAATAAGGGGACAAAACTGAAAGATTTGATGTTTGGGGGCCCTCTAGTGGCACCTGTGAGTCTGCTTATGGCAAGGTCCTCTTCTAGTCCTGTCAGTGCTATATGATGCTCAGTTACAACATTCTAAATGTGTCTTCATGATGTGTTGTTCCTGCAGAAAGCCAATTCAGCAGAATATCAAAAGGAGGTCACTGAAGGAAAAGGGTTCAATGCCTGTGACACCTACGCCATGGCTGCCGCCGTCAATGATTCATTAATAACAGAGTCTGAGGAGGTGAGCATCTACTGCTTTTTTGTCTTTAAAGTATAAACCTTCAGTTTAAATCATTATTCCAAAACGTACTGTGTTCCTCCACCAGCTTGCAGTGACAGTGGAGTTGGAAGGGAACTACGCCCGAGGCATGATGGTGCTGGACTACATGCAACTGCTGAAGAAGAAAAACAAGGCTTTCATCATAAAGAAGGTTGACTTGGAGAAGTTCAAGCAAATGTTAATGAATTCATTGAAGTAGAGTGATACTGTAACAAGGTGAAGGCATGGATTTGCTCCCCAAAAACAAATAAAAATGGTGTGTGAAAACACAATATTACACAATATTACAATACACAACATTTTCTGGTGTGTACTTATATTATGCATATGTACACAGAGTGAGGTTTATAAAATGGTTTGCCCAGTTTGGTGAGGAAGAACTTGACTGGTTTGCATGGAGCACTGACCTTTGGGATGAACTGGAAGTCGCAACATCAGCTGAATTTTTCTTTTGTAAAGCTGGCCTGCAAAACAAGAAACATTCTTATGTTCATTCTAGGAAAAACACACCCATTCAACTATATTTAGAATACACATTTATTGTCACACTGTTCCTGTCACGATTCTGAGACTGAACCCAAAAGCAGACTGAGACTGGTAGTAGTGAACACAAAGTCTTTATTTCTTTGGTGTGACGGAGGGTGATCTGGAAGCTGACTGAAGTCAGGGGTGTGGGTCCGGGGATGAAGGTGGTAGAGGAAAACCATTGTGGAGAGCTGGCAGACAGGCAAATCTGGTGGCAGAGGAAACCATTATCAGAATTTGGTAAGCTGGCTGGCAATCAAAAGACTACACTGGCTAACACGTTCAAAGGAGCTGAAGCAAGGCACACGACATACTGTGTGCGATGCAACGATCCGGCAGGAACTGGATGTCAGCCAGGCTTCTTATAGTGGTGAGGTGCAGACTTGATTGAAGACAGGTATGCTTGATTGTGGGTGACCAGCAGGTGAGTGAAGACGGAGAGAGAGGGCAAGGGGGAAAGACTGACGACTGTGGGATTGATGACTCCAGCACGAAAGGTCCAATGAATCTGGATGACGATCCAAATGATGATTTTTAGAGTCAGATTTCAAAGGCAGATCCTTGGTTGAAAGCCATACCTTATCGGCAGGTGTATATGTAGGAGCAGGTTTGCCGTGACGGTTAGCTGGTAACGACCTGAGGCTCTCAACAAGGCAGAACAGGCTCGGTGACAGGTCTTGTGTGCTTGAATGGAAGGGACTGGTATGTCTTTCTCCTGAGATGGAAAGAGTGGAGGTTGATAACCATAAAGGCACTGGAATGGTGACATACCTGAGGCCAAGTTGATGGAGCAGATGGTGCTGGTGGTCTCCAGTTTCTGGTTTGCCCTCTCAGCTTGACCACTGGTTTGGGGATAGAAGCCAGACGATAGTCTGATGGTGACTGACCTTTTCAGGTGAGTCATTGTCAGACACATCGTCCATTAAATGATCAGGCCCGTCAGGAGAGGAGAGGATCCTAACAGGCCAAGCTACCATACCTTTGTCTCCCAGACCTCGAACCCAGCTGCATGCCACACTCACCTGGAAGCTCCCTCACATGAGCATGAATTGGTATTGATAGAAAACCAGTCATTCGTGTAACCCTCAAGACATTCATTAAAGTGGAAATATTCCAACTATTCATTTATAGATCAGTCAGAAGTTTAGTAAACACCTTTAGTACATCGCTTTAGCTGACATTTTCACATTTGAGAGACCTGTCAAACTACTTTAGTTATCACAAAATCCATCAAAATTGTGCCATATTTGCACACTCTGGAATAAGCATTGAGCAAAATTATTTTGTTCCCGCAAAAAATAAAAATAAAAATTAGGAGCAAATGCCTTATACATCTAGGGAATAATAGTTGTCACAGCGACAGCTTTCATTGACATCAACCATATGTTCCACTGGCTTTTCAGCTCCTTGCACTAATTCATCATAGCAGCACGCAAAGTTCCTGTCTGGTCTCAATAACATTTTCCTTTACATGAAACACATTAAAAGTGTGGGATTCTCTCAAAGTCAGAGTATTATTTATCCCGAGATTATTAATGATACTGTGCTGGAATGATACATGTAATCACAGATGTGCACAGTGTTCTCATTTAGGGGGGCAAGTATGAACACGTGACAAAATCGAAAAAGTGCAGAGTGGTTGGTCACATCCTTCATCCAAAAAGCCTCAACACCAAGCTCAACCAAACAGTACAGCCCGGGATGATGAAGTCTCTTGCAGATGTGCAAAAAAATGGCATTAAAGGTAATCTTCACAAACTTGTAATTAAATCTACAAGTTGGAAAGTTTGAGTTAGAATAGTTAGTATTTTTTAAGACACATCTTAAGTTTGTGTTGAGAGGGAACCGGAGGTGCTAAAATGCCAACTTAGTTCCAGCTTTTAGGACTTATCCTGCAGCACTATTAAGGCTGCATTAGGCACATTTTGACCACCAGGGGGCAGAGACATACTTCCTAATGTACTGTAGTTCATACACAAGCGTTTTAAATCACCAAACAATTACTTGAAACTTCAAAGTGAAAGAGAAATTTACAGTACTAACCTGACTTCTTACCTGATATGAGGTTTGAAAATGAAACCTTTTAAAGTGATAAACTCACATCCTCTTTTTCTTGCACTTCTCTTTCTAAATTGCTGCTACCTCCTGAAAAATGCAAGAGAGTCAGGATTAAGAGATTCATTCATCAATTCATAATTTCTTAAACAAACCTTGTGCATTCATAATGTTTGTAGAGTCTTGTAGCAGCACAACAGAAAAGAACAAAAATATGAATGTCCTATTTATGTGCAGGAAATGTGTGGGTGCAGATATGAAGCTTTCCTGTCTTTGTCAGGTCTTCCAGAGAAGCCCCCAATGCCCCACACAGTCACACAGGTAAAGCAAGACGATATAACGAAAATATATATTTAGACATGTTTCTTTATTAAGAAAAGAACGATCAAGCAGTAAAGACGACCACAATAGTTGTATGGCTGACAATTGTAGGTTTGAAAAGTGGAGCTATGTATTAAATTTGGTCATTAAAGAGTACATTTTGTGTCGTTGTAGCCTCGGCCCACAGCTGAGCTGGACCGATCAGGTGATCAGGTTTACACCGGCGTCATGGCGATGGTAAAGCAGGTGGTCCAGTTGAAGAATGATGTCAACACACTGCCCGCCTCAGAGTATCCCAACGCTGTCAAAGTAGGTGCAAGTGTGTGCTTCAGTGTGTGTACACTACTCAGATTAATGTTTTTGTTGTTTTGTTTTTGCGAATATCTTATTTAACAAGACTGTTCTTGATAACACCTAAAAAATATTGGTAAAAATATGGTGAAAGTTTGTGGCAGTCAAGGAAAGGGTTCATCCTCTGGGAAGCAGAATCAGCTGCAACCTGCTCATGAAATTTAGTTTAAAAAGCTGCACACCAAATAGCTCCTGTTAAAGTTTTTTTAGTTTTTTACATTTCCAGTTGTTTTCTACGAGAGCCATTTGATGCGCGGGTGTTTCTGTTTCATAGACAGTTTTTTGATTCAGCACCCATCTAAGTTGGTCTTTTTCATCATGTTTATGGTCAACATGAAGAAATATCCCATAGACTAAGAGCCTTTAATGCCATCTTTCAGATATATTAGTGAACAGGGGAGGGCACTGTTGTGTCACAGCAGACAGACCTAAAGCCTGAGTTTCTGTCAGGTGATGGAGGGAGTGAAAAAGCATCTCAAATTGATCGCTGGATGTGTAAATCTCAGTTTACAGATCAGTATAGATTTACACAAGTCTCTTCTTTTTCCTCAGCTGACCCCATGGGGGCATAGATTATGCCTTTTTTGTTTTAATACCGCATTTTTTCCCTTCCCCTCTACCTCCTGCTCCCAACTCTTTCCCTCTTCCACCTCCTGTCCTCCTTCTTCCCTCCCCCATCACACCCACCACCTGTTTTTGCCTCCCTCCCTCAGGCCGTGGGTATCACTCTCCGTAGCCTGATTCAGAGGGTCGATAAGATCCTGCCCTATCTGCACAGCTCTGTCACAACAGAGGTAGGCCTCACTTCCTATCTCTTTGCATCGACCACTGTCCTCATTGTTTTGAGAAGGTGTACGTGCATGCAGTCGTTAGACCAGATGTTGATTTGAGATCCAATCCAATCCAATCCAATCCAACTTTATTTGTTAAGCACTTTAAAAACAACCAAAGTTGACCAAAGTGCTGTACGGAGAATAAATAAGACATCATAAATGTAGACAGTGATGGTGATGATGAAGACCACTGTGAGGAACATAGACAGTGATGGCGACAACACTGGAAAAGATGGCATCTGCTGTGCATTAAAATAGGACAAGGATACAGTATCCAAGGACGCTTAAATGTTTCATATATGTTTGTTTCACATGTACTCTTCTTTGTAAAGATATTTCTTTTTTTTATTTACTTACTTAGAGAGATAGTCACTTGTACTTTCTTTTCTAGCAGTCCTAGCTTACTGTAGATTATAGCAATTAGTGTCTTATTGCAGCCGGAAACTTTTGGGTACTAAAATAATAGAACATTGATCAGTTCTGAACTATTGCTGCAGTATACCATATTCTGAACTCCTGTTAGTGGTTCTAAATGTAACTTTCAAAAAAGCATTGTTAATAGTGGCACCAATGGCCGTTGTGAACTGCAGTCAGCATCCTGTTGCTCATGCTCACGCTCCGTGTCGAGCATCATCCTGGGCATCCTGGACATGAGTCTTGTATGATATAAATGCATTCAAATTTCTACGCTTTTCATATAATTAGAGAACAATAAAAATTGCACTATTTAGGTATATATTATATTAACGAAATCACACTTTGCCATAAAGAACTGAATCCAATCTTTGAAAACTGTATCATGTGATCGTCTCTCCTCCAGGGTCTCAGATCAAGGGCACTAAGAAACTGCTGAACAAGGATTTAGCAGAGCTGATCAATAAGATGCGACTGGCCCAGCAGAATTCCATAACGTCACTGAGGGAGGAATGTCAGCGGGAGATGTTGGCGGCCACTCACACTCTGGCACTGGATTCCAAAAACCTGTTGGATCCTGTGGACCAGGCCAAGCCCAAACCTGCCTCACAAGATGAAGATCACAGCGGGGAATGAGGAGGAAGCACGCAAATACCCTGTTGATCGAATGGACTGGTCTGTTATCGTATTTTGACAAAAGCTTTGTTCCCCTGAGAATGTGCAACACTTTCTGTACTCATGCTGTCGAAAGATGTTATGAATATTTGAATTTTCTCCTAAACTGAGAATTTCTTGAAACTGAACAAATCAAACAACCACAATGTATAACGGTGAGCCCACATGGGTTCAGCCTACTTAGTTGACCCAAGTGGGCCCCAGACAAGATACCCATTTAGGACCCATACCCACTTGGTACCCATGTAGCCAGAGCATATGGTAACCCAACACTGGCTATGATAAGAAGTTGTATGTTTGCAGTAGAATCCGCTTCGTCTCTGTTATGGCAATTTTTAAGAACCTTTACAACCCTTTGACCTGGTCATGTAAAACCATACGCAACTGTTGAAGAGGCTATTATATGCATATAACCTTTAGCCCTGTTTCTATCTACACTCTATGTCCCAGTAAACAGTGGGATGTTGAGAGTTCACAAAGAAGCCAAGGACATGATCATCTCACCACACTATCTGTCTGTTCCACACTTAGGAATGTGTAACTGTGTTAGAGTGACGCTCCAACAGGGATAAAACCATACTGCTTCTGCCAATCGGGGCTCTTTCGGACTTTCACATACGAGAGTGTGTGACGGTTGGGTTGAGACCATTCATGGATGAATAAAACCTTACAGAAAGACAAGATCATACTTTGTATGCTTTATTAAACAAGTTGCCACCACATCTCTGTCTGTTGATATAGTGTTGCAGTCAATAAAATTTGGACTAAATTCAGGAAGACCACCCCACATGGAAACAGTGCTTTTAGGATTCCACTGTAGGAGGGTTTGTTTTTGTACGTTTTCACACTGGAATCAAGTGTGGCCTTACCTCCGTCGACAATAAACCTTTCACAGCTCTCAAGCAGCAGAGTGTTGCTGTTTGATGTAGGTTCATATTGGGTGAGTCGCACTGTAATGTACAAACTGGTTCTTCAAGTTCTGTTTTATTCTCTAGAGAAAACGTTGCATTGTTTATTTTTATAACATCTTTATGGTGAAACAGAGGCAGGTTTGAGCAGGCTCTGAGGAGGGGCAAACCACCAAACTGCCATTAGACAGAATGTGGATTCTGCTTCTGTTGTTGCCAGATAATCTCTTACTTTCACTTTAAGAGCCGCACACATACTCTGGCCTTTGTCAATACAAGCAGTTAAGGACAAGCACACTCAAACGTTTTCTGCAATAACATTGAAAACTGCATGTTCACCGGTAGGTCAAAGTAAGTCAGAACTTACAAGCATTACATTCACATATCTTAAATCCAGGTTTGTCTGTTTGGTCACAATGTAAGGATATGAGTGAGGATGGTTTCATAAAATAATCGAACATCTGACCAGTTCTGAACTATTGCTGCAGTATACCATATTCTGAACTCCTGTTAGTGGTACTAAATGTAACTTTCAAAAAAGCATTGTTAATAGTGACACTATTGCCGTTAAGTGAACTGCAGTCAGCATCCTGTTGATCCTGGGCATCGGCCAAAAGTGACATATACACCAGACTGACCGCTGGGAGATATATGATCATATTTACAATAATGGTACTATCAGCAGTGCTCCTTTATTTTCTTTGAAGCATTTACTGTATGCTAATAACTAGCTTGCCATTTGTAAATTACCCCATAAGCCAAAACCATGAAGCAACCAAAGAAAAGCTCTGAGACTTGTATGATATAAATGCATTCAAATTTCTACGCTTTTCATATAATTAGAGAACAATAAAAATTGCACTATTTAAGTAAACATAATCTATTAACAAAATCACACTTTGCCATAAAGAACTGAATCCAATCTTTGAAAACTGTATCATGTGATCGTCTCTCCTCCAGGGTCTCAGATCAAGGGCACTAAGAAACTGCTGAACAAGGATTTAGCAGAGCTGATCAATAAGATACGACTGGCCGAGCAGAATTCCATAACGTCACTGAGGGAGGAATGTCAGCGGCAGATGTTGGCGGCCGCTCACACTCTGGCACTGGATCCAAAAACCAGTTGGATCCTGTGGACCAGGCCAAGCCCAAACCTGCCTCACAAGATGAAGATCATGGCGGGGAATGAGGAGGAAGCACGCGAATGCCATGTTGACTGATCTGTTATCGGATTTTGACATAAGCTTTGTTCCCCTGAGAATGTGCAACACTTTCTGTACTCATGCTGTTGAAAGATGTCACAATATATTTGCATTTTCTCCTAAACTGAGCATTTCTTGAAACTGAACAAATCAAACAACCACAATGTATAATGGTGAGCCCATATGGGTTCAACCTACTTGACCCAAGTGGGCCCCAGACAAGATGCCCATTTAGGGCCCATACCCACTTGGTACCCATGTCGCCAGAGCATAACCCATATGGTAACCCAACACTGGCTAAGATAAGAAGTTGTATGTTTGCAGTAGAATCCACTTTGTCTCTGTCTGTTGATATAGTGTTGCAGTCTGTAAAATTTGGACTAAATTCAGGAAGACCACCCAACATGGAAACAGTGCTTTTAGGATTCCACTGTAGGAGGGTTTGTTTTTGTACGTTTTCACACTGGAATCAAGTGTGGCCTTACCTCCGTCGACAATAAACCTTTCACAGCTCTCAAGCAGCAGAGTGTTGCTGTTTGATGTAGGTCCATATTGGGTGAGTGTCACTGTAATGTACAGACTGGATTCTTCAAGTTCTGTTTTTCTCTAGAGAAAACATTGCATTGTTTATTTAACTTATTTATGGTGAAGCAGAGGCAGGTTTGAGCAGGCTCTGAGGAGGAGCAAACCACTCAGAGAACGTGACAAAAGCCATTAGACAGAATGTGGATTCTGCTTTTGTTAATAATAATAATAATCTCTTACTTTCACTTTAAGAGCCGCACACATACTCTGGCTTCTCTCAATACAAGTAGTTAAGGACAAGCACACTCAAACGTTTTCTGCAATGACACTGAAAACTTTAGAGTCTGCATGTTCACTGGTAGGTCAGAGTAAGTCAGAACTTACAAGCATTACATTTACATATCTTAAATCCAGGTTTACCTGTTTGGTCACAATTTAAGGATATGAGTGAGGATGGTTTTTCTTTTCTAAAAGGGAGTACTGTGGACACCAAAAGTCTGCATGTGACCAAGGTTTGCAGATTCATTCTTCCCTTAACCTGAATGCAGGTTCCTGATTAAAACAGCCATGAAATCCCTTGTTTTCAAAACCTTGCCGTTGCAGTCTAGATGCAGAATTTTGTAGTTATTTGTCCTCTAAATGCTTGATGCAAGAATTCAATATGAAGTTCTACTAAAACAGGAAAAAGGACTGACTCATCTGTGTCTTAAGAGAGATTAATATCTTGTAATAATCACATTTCTTTGGTAGTACAGATCATCAAGGCATATTTGGCTTCAGCTGGAAAGTCTGGCTGTGCTTCATGATAAACAACCCCTTCAATATGGAAATGTAAGTTCGCTAAAGAATAATAGATTTAACTCTAATCATCAATGTCAGGACACTGTTTTACGGGGAAAAAAACAAATCAATTCAATTCAAATTACATTTTGATGGTTGATGCTTGAAAACTAACAAACAAACCAAATCAAAGCATTTTAAAAGGCTTCCAGATGTTTCTACACCTGCAGCAACGCCCCTCACCATCCTATTGTAACACCTCCATGTTTAAAAGGCGGCTGTTCAGGTCAGGGCAGTCAGCAGCCGTCTCTCCACTCTGACAGCAGACAGCAGCAAACATCAGGATCCACTCACCAGGTGAGGACTGCCACCCTTACCTTAAAGATACAATTGTTTGTATAATTATTTGTTTTTGATCTTGTTTTTAATTTTCAGAGTGGCTTTGCTTGTTTCAGTTTAGATTTATTGTTTAAAATGTTCACTTAAGTTTAGGTTTTATTAGTTTCAGTGTTAGTTTTAGTTATTATTATTTTTATTATTATTATTATCATTACTACTACATGGGGGTATTTGTAAGGGGAAAAATATTACAATACAAACACACTGACTCACAGTTACGTAGTCTCATAAACATATGTCATATAAACACATGTACCAACATCATCTCATGGTTATTGTCGACTAAGACCAAAAACACATTTTCTGTATATTTTGTTTTTTTAGTGCTATGTTTTTTAAGTTTTGTCTAGTTTTATTATTTTTATTATATCAGTTGTGAAATAAAAAATAATTTTCACAATTTATTTTTTACTTTAATAAAATTGATTGTAACTTGCTGAAAAGATCTAAACTGATGGGTAAGAAGCCTGAGAACCTGTTCCCAACCGCATAATGCAATAAATATCTACTTGGAGAAAAAAATCTTACATTTACCTTCATAATGAATAATTATTAATTGAATTAAAATTATTAATAAACAAAAGCCTTTTTAAGAAGGAAATGTGTATTACAAAATAAAGCCTGCAGGCAGCAGATAATCATAAAGCATGCAAAACTCTTGCACAAATGGAACTAAGATCTGCCCTGATGCAGATAAACTACAGAGGGGTCCTTCAATATTCACTCAGACTAGATTTAAAAAAACTCAAAATCACTTTCAGTCAGAAAACAAAACACCAGAGTTTCTGGCTGACAGTATCTGCAAAAGGGAGGTCTGCTCTAAGTTGAGAAAGGACAAAAATGCCCCGGGTATGGAGTTCCCCACTTCTCTTACACCCTTAAGAAAGGACATCATCACACCCCATGACTTCTGGTCACAACGTGTGTGTGTGTGTGTGTGTGTGTGTGTGTGTGTGTGTGTGTGTGGAGAGAGATTGAGAGAGAGAGAGAGAGAGACGAGACTGAACATTTGCTCTCACTTTGCGGAAAAAATATCGGGATATATATCGTCTATCGATATTCAGCTTAAATATATCGGGATATGACTTTTTGTCCATATCGCCCAGCCCTACTTTGACATTCAGCTTCAGTGAATCTGGGAAATGGGGCATTTAAATGAGTAGGTAGGTAAGTAGGAGAGATAAAGGACTGCTGCAGGGTTTGCATGAATTCTTTTGAGCGATTAAATAAATGCTACAAACTCCTCAACCTGCCACACCCAATCGATCATATTACATACTCATGTTGCACGCACAAGCGTTGTTCAAACCCACAGTACAGTACTTTAGTTTCTGTTCTACGCTTGGGATGCCAAACTTCTTCTTGCTGACTGAGGGAAAAACACACAGCTATAGACTTTTTGATGTTGCAGGCAAAATGGCGCCTAGAGAATATTTCACTTCCTGTAAGGATCATGTTGTTCAATTACAATGTTGGAACCAGCAGACAGAACTTTGTGTACATAATATTAGATCTGTGAACTACTAATCTGCCTATTTATAATTGTAGACCATGACTACAAGATATAATCAATAAAACTCAAAGCTTATAAACCCTGTAAAGTATGTGTTATTAAGGTTTGAACATTTTCTTGTTATTGAAGGTAGGATGAAGAAGAAATTGATCCTCGACGTGGACACAGGGGTTGATGATGCTCAGTCCATCATGGTGGCCTTGGCGGACCCTGATGTGGAGGTTTTGGGGATCACATGCTGCCATGGCAACACAACCCTGGAGAATGTGCTCAAGAACACACTGCGTGTCCTGAAAGTCTGCAACAGGCTGGATGTACGTTGTAAGATGGGTGTGACAACAGAAAATGATGCATGTCAA